GTGTTTTCAACTTTTAACGAGGAGCTTTTTAAAGAAATAACGCAGCTCTTGACGTTAGAGAACTTCCGGTAAAGTCATATTCTATTAGTGCAGCCCAAAGCTTTTTTTTTTTCGTAGCGCTAGTGCAAAAGACAGAGGATTAAGTGTTTTTGAGTTTTGATGGAACTTTTAGGGAGAATGAACAGTTATCCAAGTATGGGGACACCAAGTCTGCAAGAGCTATCATGTTGGTGGAGCTCAAAAAGCTTATTGAGGCGAATCCGTTGTTCCGTGATAAACTGCAGTTTCCTACTCTTAGAAATTCAAGGCTTCGCACTTTGATCAACCAGAGGTTTATTGCTTTGTCCATTAATCGTTTGTATACTCTTCAAGCTTTTTTGGGATTAACTCATCCTTCCTTTTCTTACTGCATAACTTGCAGCTTAAATTGGCAACATCAGCTTTGTAAAAATCCAAGGCCAAATCCGGATATAAAGACTCTTTTTGTGGATCATTCGTGTGGCCCTCCAAATGGTGCACGGGCTTCATCGCCTGTGAACAATCCTCTGCTTGGAGGATTACCAAAAGCTGGAGGCTTTCCTCCTTTAGGCGCCCACGGGGTAAGTAAATCTCTATCTTTTTTATTTAATCTACTTTCTCCTGAGGCCAAGTGTGTGAATGTCTCTATGTCTCCAGCCATTTCAACCAACGGCCTCACCCGTTCCAACGCCTCTTGCTGGTTGGATGTCTAGTCCATCCTCTGTCCCACATCCTGCTGTGTCTGCAGGAGCCATTGCTCTTGGTGGTCCATCGATCCCAGGTACTACATGCTGATCAAAATCTTTGTTTCTTCCAATAAACTGTGTGTGTGAGATCTATGCAATGTGCTTACAATGGAGCTCTTTTCCTATTTTGGTACAGCGGCATTGAAGCACCCGAGAACTCCTCCAACTAATGCTGGTTTAGACTACCCGTCAGCGGATTCTGAGCATGTCTCAAAAAGAACAAGGCCTATGGGAATCTCAGACGAGGTGAATCTAGGTGTGAACATGTTGCCAATGTCATTTCCAGGGCAGGCCGCCCATGGGCACAGTCCGGCTTTCAAAGCACCAGATGACTTGCCCAAGACAGTTGCACGAACTTTGACTCAGGGCTCATCTCCCATGAGCATGGATTTCCATCCAATTAAACAGACTCTGCTTCTAGGTCTGTTTCTTGCTCTGTGTATGAGCTTCCATGTAATAATCATCAGTGATGTTGTTCTAAATTCGATTGCATCGTTGTACCAGTTGGTACAAATGTAGGGGATATCGGGCTGTGGGAAGTTGGATCTCGGGAAAGATTAGTGCAGAAGACCTTCAAAGTCTGGGATTTGAGTAAATGTTCAATGCCCTTACAGGTGCCTATGCATAGCAACAACAACATTTCAATATTGGTATATGTTATACAGTGACTGAATAATTTGTATCTTTAGGCTGCTCTGGTGAAAGAACCTGTTGTTTCTGTCAACCGTGTGATATGGAGCCCTGACGGTTCCTTGTTTGGTAAAGAACTCAGCTTTAAATTCACATGTGCGCAAGAATGCAACTTTATAACTCTTTTCTACGTTCTCAAATGCAGGAGTTGCTTACTCGAGACATATAGTACAACTATACTCTTATCATGGAGGTGAAGACATGAGGCAACACCTTGAGGTCTCATAACATTCGCATGCCTCTTTTTATTGACATTCTTTTTCCCCGTGGAGACTGTCTTGTAATATTGTGATTATTTCAGATTGATGCTCATGTTGGTGGTGTGAATGATATTTCCTTCTCGACTCCAAACAAGCAACTATGTGTAATAACCTGTGGAGATGACAAAACCATCAAGGTGTGGGACGCTGCAACGGGTGTCAAAAGACATACCTTTGAAGGCCATGAAGCTCCTGTTTACTCTGTCTGTCCTCACTACAAGGAAAATATTCAGGTAAGCTTAGCTAGCTCTCCATTGATCTCCCTCTCTTTCACTACAGGTTTTAGTTTTTTTAATTTTTTTTGTTTTCTTTTTGTCTTCAAGTTCATATTCTCGACAGCTCTCGATGGGAAAATAAAGGCATGGTTGTATGATAATATGGGTTCTCGAGTTGACTATGATGCACCTGGTCGCTGGTGTACAACAATGGCTTATAGTGCTGATGGAACTAGGTTATTCTCTTGTGGGACTAGTAAAGATGGAGAGTCATACATAGTTGAGTGGAATGAAAGTGAAGGAGCTGTGAAAAGAACTTATCAAGGATTCCACAAGCGTTCTCTCGGTGTTGTGCAGTTTGATACCACTAAAAACCGTTATTTAGCTGCGGGTGATGACTTTTCCATTAAGTTCTGGGATATGGACACTGTACAGCTTTTAACTGCCATTGATGGCGATGGAGGCCTCCAGGTACGTGAACAGAAAAGTCTAATTTGGAAACTTTTCAGATATTCTTTTGGAGTTTTGTCTTAATTTGCGCTTCTAATATCAAAACTAGGCAAGCCCGCGTATCCGGTTTAACAAAGAAGGCTCTCTCTTGGCTGTTTCTGGAAACGAGAATGTGATCAAGGTTATGGCAAACTCAGATGGTCTAAGACTATTGCACACTTTTGAGAACATTTCATCTGAAACCTCCAAGGTACTTACAAATCTAAGCTAAGCTTTAAATTACTTATGAGTAATGGAAATGTTTTTTCAACACTTCATTTCTACATTTGCAGCCTGCGATAAACAGCATTGCAGCGGCAGCAGCAGCAGCTGCTACGAGTGCTGGACTTGCAGATCGATCAGCCAATGTAGTTTCCATGCAAGGAATGGTAATAAATATCGTTTTCTTTGTTTTTTTTCACACAATTCTGGTTTTATGTTTCCATCATTCATCATCACTTGCCTTTTACAGAATGGAGATTCGCGGAATATGGTGGATGTGAAGCCAGTGATTACAGAAGAATCAAATGATAAGTCTAAGATATGGAAGCTTACTGAAGTCAGCGAGCCTTCTCAATGCAGGTCACTGAGACTCCCTGAGAATTTGAGAGTTGCTAAGGTATAAAAATATACATTTTCTGATCAATGTACAGGCTATATATATAGATGGTCCTTTTTTGATCTTTCTGATGATAAATCGATAACCTTTTGCAGATATCAAGATTGATTTTCACGAATTCAGGAAACGCTATCTTGGCTTTGGCATCAAACGCTATTCATCTTCTATGGAAATGGCAGCGGAATGACCGCAACACAACTGGAAAGGTGAAATTGACTCTTTCTTTCTTGGTCATAATAATGATAACTGTCACTGATATCTACATCTTGTTTTTCCGTGATTCATTCGTGTAGGCGACAGCTTCTTTACCGCCTCAGCAATGGCAACCAGCAAGTGGGATCCTCATGACTAACGACGCTGCTGAAACCAATCCCGAGGAAGCTGTACCTTGTTTTGCTTTATCCAAGAATGATTCTTATGTAATGTCGGCCTCTGGAGGAAAGATCTCCTTATTTAACATGATGACTTTTAAGGTAATAATACATGTTGACTGACAGTTCTTGGCTAATGATTACGATTTGTGTAGACATGTTGACTGACTGTTCTTGGCTAATAATTTGCAGACGATGGCCACTTTCATGCCACCACCGCCTGCTGCCACTTTTCTTGCTTTTCATCCTCAAGACAACAATATTATTGCTATCGGAATGGATGATAGTACTATTCAGATTTACAACGTCCGTGTTGATGAGGTAATGAATCGAAATCTCTAGAGAAGAAGAAGCAGTGTCTTTTTTGTTGTTGTTGATATGATGGTTAACATGTTCCTTGTTTGCTCGCTCAGGTGAAGAGTAAGCTTAAAGGTCATTCGAAGCGAATTACTGGTCTTGCCTTCTCCAACGTATTAAATGTGCTGGTTTCTTCTGGAGCAGATGCTCAGGTTCCCGCGTTAAAACCATCTTCTTTTTTTTAAGAATCATTCAGGTAAGATCCATAGTCTGTTTATACGATTTTTTTTGTTGTTGCAGCTTTGTGTTTGGAACACAGATGGATGGGAGAAGCAGAGAAGCAAGGTTCTGCCACTTCCACAGGGAAGACCAAACGCTGCACCTTCAGATACGCGTGTTCAGTTCCATCAAGATCAAGCGCACTTCCTCGTCGTGCACGAGACGCAGCTCGCTATCTACGAAACAACCAAGCTCGAATGCATGAAACAGGTATTTTAGTTAACAGTCCTCTTGTGTCTCTCTCCAAGATCTAGAGTGTACTGCATTTGATAGATGATTAACGATTGCCATGTTTCAGTGGCCAGTGAGAGAATCATCAGCTCCGATCACTCATGCCACCTTCTCATGTGATAGCCAATTGGTCTACGCGAGTTTTATGGATGCTACGATTTGTGTATTTAGCTCTGCAAATCTAAGATTGCGTTGCCGGGTCAACCCTTCTGCGTATCTACCAGCTAGTCTCAGGTAAATGAAACAGAGGAATCTTGAATTTTTCAAAAAGAATCGTACGAGAAAACAGAGGAATCTTGATGAAGCTTTGCTTGTTCATTTGTGTAGCAACTCGAACGTACATCCACTGGTGATTGCGGCACATCCCCAAGAACCAAACATGTTTGCGGTTGGCCTCTCAGACGGAGGAGTTCATATTTTCGAACCGGTTGAGTCGGAAGGTAAATGGGGAGTGGCTCCACCAGCTGAGAACGGGTCAGCAAGCGGTGCAGTGGCCGCACCATCGGTTGGAGCCTCTGCCTCTGATCAGCCACAGAGATAATCTGATTCAAGAGTCATCTACCTCTCTCTCTGATTCTCTTTTTTCTTTTCTTAAGCATTTTTCGTTTTTTTTTTTTATTTTTGGTAGAAAGATTTATGACCCAGAGATTCTAACATGTTTAGATGTAACATATAATCACAGCAATTTAGTAGTAAATTTGGATAAAAACAGTGACTGATGTTGTTTACGTCTCTTTTCCTTATCTTTGACCTTCACATAAATTTTATTTTGTGGCAAGAAAAGATTTTCAATTTCAATTATATACATGTGATACAGAGGATACTTAGAATTTACATAAATTTACAAGAGTGATTAGTTTCTTCTGATAGTTGTTGTTGGTTCACTTCAGAAAATAAACAAACCAAAGGGATTCCAAAAGCTGGCCACATAGAAGAGCATTGAAGACTCTTTTGTCCGACCTTAGCTTGGAAAGCTTTATTTACAGTTTTTTCTGCAAATAATCCGAAGACGAGCATAGTTTTTATATATACAAAGAAGACTGGGACTTTGTCTGAGACCAGAAGAAATCGATCTATGTACAGAATTTGTGAATTTGCCCTTCTGACAAATAACTTTATTCAGGACGGAAGTTGACTAGGTTTGGCAGATCGGTCGCCTGAAGCTTCCTGATGTCGTTGGCAGAGACCTTGCACGACTCCAAGGTCAGAGATCTCAGGTTCTTCAAAGGCTTTAGGTGACGTAGTCCTGAGTTTGATACTCGAGAGTTTGAGACGTTTAGAGAGACCAATCCGGTCAATCCTGCGGTTTTTATGAGATCATGATTCAGGTTTCAGGTACATATATATGACTTGTCTGGTTAAATCAAGAATTGTATTTTTTTTTTTACCAGAAATCAACTCCAGCGTTTTGTCTGTGAGATTGGAATTTTGTGATAGATTGAGCAGTGTGAGGGATGGAAGATCTTTTATGTTCTTGACACCAGCATCAGTTAATCCACCTCCACATATTTCAAGTGACTGCAGTTTCTTTAGGTCTGTATCAAAAGAAAACCAACAAAAATGTTTAGGAAGCAGAAGATGGGTGTCTAGTATTTGAAGAGAAGCAATGAAAACTTACTTCGTAGATGATTTGTTCCTGAATCTGTGATGCGAGCACCGAAGAGATCAAGGTGAGTCAATCCAGTCAAACCTAGAACAAAAACAAAAGGGACAGTTTGGCTTTAAACTCAGAGGAACCTGTAACCGCATCAGGCAAAAGGCAAATAGCTTGTTGACAGTCGCAGTTTATTAACTGAAGCGAGAAGCATTGAAATGACTTACTTGTAAGCGCGGAAAGCCCAGCATCAGTAACATGACGAGCATCCAGATTCAGCGTTCGAAGAGATGTCAAACCAGACAATTTCCTTAAACCGCTATCGGTTACAACAGTGAATGACAAGTTTATGCTCTCCAGGTTTGACAGACCTATATGGTAACATAAAAATGTGTTAATCAACACTGACGTAGAGATTATCTGCATGAGAGTATACCAAAGAACACAAAAGATACAAAATGGAGAGGAATATGTTTGACCAGAGAGATGGCGAAGCCCATGGCTTCCTACTTCGGTATCAGACAACTCCAGAGATTTTAACCCAAGCATACCTAAAACCACATGAGTACATTATGTGAATATCGGATAATCCGTGAAAAGAGCAAGAAACGCAAGTAGCAATCACCTGATAAATGTACCAGTCCTTCGTCACCAATTCTACAAGAATCCAAGTTCAAGCTCTCCAACTTTGTCAAACCTGAAGGTATTTTATAGCAGTTTAGCAGTCATATCTCAGACACCAAGATATGGTGAAGAGAGATGAAAAAAGACAAAATTAGGAACATAGTAAGAAAGTGAGACAACCTCTCAGGTGGACCAAGCATGAGTTTGTAATGTTGTTCATTCCCAAGTTTAAGATCTTCAAATTAATTAAATCTGCAGAGAAGCGTGAGACAGAGAATTGCAGAGTTTTTCGGAAAGCAAAACGAGCATTGTCAACTGCGAGGAAGTCAGGTAACACTCACCAGAAAACTTTTCACACCCACTGTCTGAAAGATTGCATCTATTGAGGTTCAAAAACATCAAACCTTTAAGAGCTACAGACAACAGACGAAAAACTTGTATGAGTTCATCTGGCAGAAAGGTGTATTGTCCAAAAAGTATCATACATCTAACTGACTGGACAATCACGGAGACACTAAAAAGCTTGCGAAAAACCCATAAGGATGGATACAGACCTGTGAGTGTGTCCAAGCATGCAGCAGTAACATGACGGCACCCTTCCAAGTTTAATAAATTAAGCTTGTTTAGACCTGAAGCAAGAAAGTGGAACAAATGAATTTTCAAAGGATAAGGTGCTTAAATGATCCAACTACGGGTGCTCGAGAAGATCTGAGACAAATGGTGAAAATAGGAGAAAGATAACCAAAACCTTCCAACTTAAATACCTTTAAGGTAGCTGACACCAAAATCGGTAATCTTACTGCAGCAAATCTGTAAGCTCCTCAGATTTGTAAGTTCTGAAGCAAAAAGGAGTAAGCACATCTACTGGGCAAAGTTCAGAAAATCTGTGAAGGAGTCGCATGTTTCTTGCTACCTGAGATAGGCTCCATGTCTGCATCAGTTATGCAGTTACACCACTTTATGTTTAAGGACTCCAATTTGGTCAAATCTGGAAAAGGCAGAAAATTGCAGAGAAGCTCAAGAGGATGAAGACACTTGGTCAGGTGGAAAATTAGCACGCAAAATTGATATAGCATATTCCAAGTCAAACGCCAACCAATACCTTATACCATATCTAAAAAGGCTTCAAAACAAATTGAATAGTAAACTACCTTGCTTTGGATCGATCCATCAGTGTGCACATAACATGTAGAGCTCTCAATAACATGAGATGCCAGAAAACAGGAAACAATCTCAAGTAATGAAATTAAAACATGTAGCTCTACATACCTCGCAGGTGAACGAGCCCACCGTGAATACCAGGACACTTCTCAAGATCTAGTTTCTTCATGTTAACCAAGTTGGAAAAAGCACGCATGCCTTGTGCAGTGATTGCACCATTTCTTCTGAAGCTCAGGCTTGTCAAATTTGAGAGGCCTGAAATTGTTTGTCGATAGTTATCATTCGACTGGAATCAAATCCATCAAACAAGTGCATCAGGTATAACTCTATTGGAGTAACTATCCTTTAGGAAACATCCACATTCAAAGTACATGGAAAACTTTGATAAGCAAAATAGAGAAATAAAAAACAGTATGACACATTGCTTCAAACAAATCAACTAGAAATAACTGAAAAAGAGCAAAGATTACCGCTTAGATGCTCCAGCCCGCGGTTTGATATCTGGTCACAGAAATTAAAGTTTAAGGATTCCAGGTTTTTGCAACCTTTTAAAGAAACCAGCCCAGAGTCTGTGATATCAGACCCCGAAAAATCAACAGAAAGTAACGATGTACTTTGCGAGGAGATGACATCCATCCAGTCATCATTAACTCCAGGGTATTCTCCCAAGTAAAGATCCTGTTTTCACAAATCGTGAGTCCACTACACTAACAGGACATGAACATGAAGGGGAACCGTAACCAGAGAAACACCAAGGACTTTACCTGGATAGCACAGTCCCGAAATGCCTCAAGAGACTTTAAAGTTATTCGCTGAGAATACACCAATTCATCAAAAATCTGCTGACTTATATCTCTGGGTAGGTGAGAGAATGTGGTATATCTATCTACGTCCTGAGAGTGTGATGCGACAAATTCCAAACACTTGGTTAGCGGATAACAAACCAAAGTTACAGCCTGGCTAGTGTCAAACAATATACCTCCTGTATCTTGCGGATACAGAGCTCCAAAAGCGATGGGCATTCTCCATTTCTCCGTTTAACATCCGAACCGGACCTAGAGAGCGAAGTGGCCAACCATTTCGAACTTGAACTCTTGCTATATTTTCCAGAGGCACCTCTGTTTAAAATATCCTCAACTTGTTGTTGATCTCTCTTCCTTGAGCAAGCTCCTCCCATGATGAAGTGACCCAAAATCATCAATCTTTTTCAGAGACTGAAACAGAGCATGAAAATGATCCCTCGCTCACGTCAAAATTACCTCACAAAACTTTCCTTAGCCTCCATAAATGAAAAACACATGATTTTTTTCTTTGGATTTTGCGGGTTATTATTATACATCCAAAAGAGACAATTAGAAAAACTCCTTGAATACGATGCAGTGGCTCTAACTCACATCAATTGAACAGAAACAAGCACAAGCAATGATAGAACATAAGAGATAAGTGTGAATTGACACTACACGAAGCGTTTAAATTCCCACCAGTAAAACCCAGAAAACCCAAAGAAAAACTAATTCAAACACAATCGCATAAAAGTAAAAGAGACTAGCAGCTAAAGATCAAAAGAAGAGTAAGGGACGCAGTATAAAGGGAGCTGTTCACCAGGAAACACTTGTACTAGATGTCTAGATGATCCTCCCACGAAACCAACAGGAAAAGCCGATACATACCTAATCATTGCGGCGATCGATCGAGCTTATTTTTCCTGGAGAAGTTTTCTGGGGGTTTAACAGTGATCAAACCTTTTTTGTTGTGATTTTGAGGAGAAGGTGAGGAAGAAAGAGAGGAGGAGTATAGAAATGTGCAAAGTGGCCGTGAGCCGAGCCTGGTTCTGAACCTGCAATCGTATGACACGTGTAAGCTGAATCAGCCTTAGAGTGGTACGGAGTTAGGTTTGGGACAATCAAATTCGTTTTGAGATAAGATTAGAACAATAAAAGAAGGTCGCGGGTCCCACCACCAGTGGACCCCGCCTGAATAATTTCAACAGTTTTTTAATTTTATGTTGATTGATCTTATTGAGAAAAATATCCACCTAAAACTTAATCAATAGACAACAAAAAAAAAATCAAATTAAATACACAGAACACTGTACTTCGAATTTGTGTATCTAAAAATCCACGTATCTACTCATGACTATGCTTTTCTTCACGTCTTATCTAATATTTTGATCACGCAAGGAAATATTCTGATTAAAATGTTTTGTAACAACATCTTTATGGCTACATGAATATCTTATGATTCGCTCTTTTGGTATGTAGCCATATGTACGTTAGAAGTTAAAAATTTGCGGACTAGCATTTTCTTGAGAGGTGCTCGATTTTCTCGTTTGGTCTTTCTTTTTTAATTTAAAGTTTAGTAACTGGCGATTCACATTTCATCTGAAAGTGTATCTGAAATTAAAGTATAGTAAATGATATTAATAATATTTTTTTTCAAAAAAGAAGAAGTGATTTTGATATTTTTAAAATAGTAAAACTTGTTCAGACAAAAAAACAAATAGTAAGATTTTAAACAAAAAAAAAAACAAATTGTAAGATTGTTCAGACAAAAAGAAAAATAGTAATCTTGCAAAAACGTGGGAAAACCCGTGTCAATCTCGACCGTTGGATCCAACCGAAACAGTAAAAAACATAAAAACGTAAAATCTCAAAACTTACAAAGACAGAGTAAAATGTATATTGATGATGTCTGATTTTCAGGCTACACCTTAAACCCTAACAACAATGGCGACGCTTTTACGACTCGACGTAGCCCCTACTTTTCTTGCTTTCAACGGCACCCGTGCTCATACGGCGTTAAACCATCGGTTTGCTTCTGCCAGGCGCAGGAGAGCCACAGTTTCCGTCAGAACGAAGCTGTCGCCGTCTTATTCCGCGGCGGTTTACTCTGAAACCCGTCGGAGATTCAACTTCGCCTTCGCCTCTGCTTCCTCGCTGGCGGTTGTGGATACCGAAGAAGATTCCTTCGATGTTTCCACTGAGATTACGCCCGACAATCGAATCCCGGCCACTATAATTACGGGGTTCCTGGGTTCTGGTAAGGTGAGTCTTCTTTGTTTAATTCTCAATCTAGCTTAATTTAATGCTTAGTTTTTAAGTGAGCAAAAAAGCTGATTTTTTTTCATGTGTTATGCTTTCCCGGGTGACCAGACGACATTGCTAAATCATATATTGACGGGAAATCATGGGAAGCGCATAGCCGTGATCGAGAATGAGGTATTGTATTAATCTCTGTCTGTCTTGAAGAGAGATTGGTTTTTGGAAAGTTATGATTTTTCTAATTCGTGCTAAATGTGAATTTCTTTCTCAGTTTGGTGAAGTCGACATTGATGGATCGCTTGTGGCAGCTAAAACCGCGGGAGCAGAGGATATAATGATGCTTAACAATGGCTGTCTGTGTTGTACAGTCAGGGGTGATCTTGTGAGGATGATTTCTGATTTGGTCAAGACGAAGAAAGGAAAGTTCGACCATATAGTCATTGAGACAACAGGTCCGGAATTTTTTTATAAAAAATCCACTCCTTTTGTCTTTTATTTCAGTTGAATTAAGCTCTGGAGCTACATGTTTCTTTAGGAACCATTACTATTTTCATGAAGATTTTTTTTTGAGCTGAGTAATGAATGTGTTATGTATGTATTTCTCTTTTCAGGATTGGCCAATCCAGCCCCGATTATTCAAACTTTTTATGCTGAGGATGAAATCTTCAATGATGTGAAACTCGACGGGGTGGTCACCCTGGTTGATGCTAAACATGCTCGTTTGCATCTAGATGAGGTCAAACCCGAAGGCTATGTCAATGAGGCGGTTGAACAAATAGCTTACGCCGATCGCATCATAGTTAACAAGGTATGTGAAGTTCTGATTACCATCACCATTAAAGAAAAATTGGATGCTTGTAGTAGAAAAACGTCTCGATGGTCTTCTATGTATTGTTCTTCAGTGTTTGTACTTTGTTGCAGACTGATCTTGTTGGTGAGCCAGAACTAGGTTCAGTGATGCAGCGGATAAAGGTATTTTCTGTTTCTTCTTTCTCTTTGAACTTCTAATTTATTCTCTTTGCCCTGCATTAATGCTTATGCTCTGGTTGTTTTCAGACCATAAACAGCATGGCTCACATGAAGCGGACAAAGTATGGGAAGGTTGACTTGGATTATGTTCTTGGAATTGGAGGTTTTGATCTAGAAAGGTCTGGTTTTATTCTACGTCTTACTAATATCTCATTACGAGTCATTTCCAACAACTTCTGCCGACGTAGCTCTGTGCAATCGGTTTAAGTGTATTGGTTTAACAGGGCTAATTTTGTTACTCTGGTTTATTGCTCGGTGGTGATTAACTGTTTTAAGTTTCCAGAATTGAGAGCTCTGTGAATGAAGAAGACAAGGAAGAGCACCAGTGTCACGATGATCATCACCATGACCATGACCATGACTGCCATGATCACCACAAGGAGCATGATCATGAACACGGTATGTTATCTAATTACCAAAGTAGGGTCTTGTAACTTCATATCGATCGCCTACATGCACTGATTAGTTTGCTTCTGAAACTGCAGAGCATCACCATTCTCATGATCACACCCATGACCCTGGTGTTGCTTCAGTCAGTATAGTTTGCGAAGGAGACTTAGACCTCGAGAAGGTGTAGCACCGCAAGTCTTGTTTTAGTTCTAGATTTGCGATTGATTACCTGCATCATCTAACCTCAGTATTGACAATGGATCAGGCTAACATGTGGCTTGGGGCACTATTGTACCAACGCAGCGAGGATATCTATAGAATGAAAGGTATCCTCTCCGTCCAAGATATGGAGGAGAGATTCGTGTTTCAGGTGACCTGTCTGTTTATCATTGTATTCTATTATTTCGACTGGAGCTTAAAATGCATCCAAGTTTTTTGAGGTAGGGAATACTGTCTGACGTCTGTGGGGTTTTTGATTGTTGGGACAGGGAGTTCATGAAATATTTGAAGGATCGCCAGACCGGTTGTGGAGAAAAGATGAAACAAGAATCAACAAGATCGTTTTCATTGGCAAGAGTTTGAACCGGGAGGAGTTAGAGATGGGTTTCAGAGCTTGCTTGATTTGATTATTTTTTAAAAAAAATAAACATCATTCCAAGTTCTATCAGTTAGTCAATACATTGAAGACTTTTTCTTTCCATATATGTAAAACATTGAGACTAACTAGTTAGTAACTACAGAAACCTGAATAATGTCAACTCGCTCTTCATTAAAGCTTTCACAATACAAAGAGTGAATCCCTTTCTGCCATAACACAAAAAAGGCTTAAAACTTGTCCAATATGTGTTATATGTAGAAAATAGAAAGCCAACTTTTAAGGAATCTGGACCAACATTTAGCTGATCAAAAATCAGTGCTTCACCCTCAAGAAGACTGAGTTTACGATGCTCTTTCCTCTACGCCCAAGGACTTTCACGCCTCGTCGATGATGATGACATATCGGCATACACCCGAAGATGTGTATATATATTTTGACAAGTATTGGCAAGACAGTGATATAGAAGAGTTTAAATTCGAAAGGATTTCTTTATCTTTTGAACAAAATATCGATTCACTTTTACAATCAGATATGTTTCTTTCCCGTCTGTGCTCTCTTATAACTGAAAATGAAAATGTATGGACTCCATTGATACATTAGTCTGAAAATTCCCCAAACATAGGTTCCAAAAAAAAAAAAAACACCCAAACATAGAGAGCAAATGATCAAATCCCTTTTATTTTTTTCACACTCGAGTATTTCCAAAATGTCATAACTTTTGCTTTTATTCCGAATCTAACATAATCCACCTTACACCAAAAAGTTGTGATTTTTAAGATGATGATGATATCTCTTTCATCGGAACAACACCACCATCGTTGAGCATTTTCTGCTCTGTTTTCTTAGACGAGGGAGCCTCCCCACCAAACATTTGCTTCCTGTAAACCTGATGCAATCTCCCAAACAGCTCCTTCTTGATGGATTCAAAGGCCATGTCTAGCCGTTCCAACTGTTCAAGAGCATTCTGGTTATACATGAACAGACCATAGTAAAGCTCGAAGCTATCACTCGATGTGTTCTCCACCAAATCCAGCAACGTCTCATACCCTTTGGTGTTGATCGGCGACGATTCAACTCCGAATTTCTCCAAAACCCTTCCCATGGTGTGCGTCACGAACTGCGACCCAGCTGCGTGCTTGTCGTGCTCCTCGCAGCTCATCTCCACCATCCTACAACCTTCGTTCTCGAAAACCCTCAGAAACTTCTCACACCTCTCGTTTCTAGAAGCTTCGTCTCCGATTCTCACCTTGTCATAGACAAAGGGCAATCCCGACCAGGAATGCTTCCCGCTCTCTGGTCCGAACATAGGGTGAGTGCAAAGAATGTCGAATTCCTTTGGGAGGTATTTGAGGAAGAGGGTTCTCGGGAATTCCTTGACGGAGAGAACATCGACGAAGAGCGTGCTACGACGGAGACGTTGGAATGGGAACGATCGGAGGACGGATTCTGTGGAGAGGATTGAGGTACAGAGGAGGACGACGTCGGGATGCTGTTCGCAGAGATCGTGAGGGTTATCGAAGAAACGAGCTCCGATTGAGGAGGCGGCGTCGGAGTAATCGGAGCGGGAGTGGGTGATTAGGTCGTGGCCGTGTCGAATTAGGGTTTTTGAGAGGAATTGACCGAAATTGCCGAAACCCAAGACGGCGATTTTGAGAGCAGAGGATCTACGGTACTCGGATTTGAGTTGGGTCTCGTAGTCGAAGATCTGGGCAGCGTCGATGGCTCGAATGCGGAGGGATCTCGGCGGAGAAACGAGGAATGCCGGTGAATTCCGCCGGGGATTGGGTGGAGAAAAGAGGGGTTTCGTCGGTGAAAAATGGAGCAACATTGTGTGGTGGAGAAAGATTATTGTTATATTGGGGACTGATTACGCAAAGGCCCCCTTAGCTCTCTGGAGCTGAGTGAATCTGTGAGAATGGAGGAGGAAGAAGAAGATGACGAGAAGCAATATGAAGAAGAAAAGAAGAAGAAGATACGAGGCTCCAACTAAAGAATCAGAAACTGATGAATTTCATTATAAAAACGTGATGATGAAAGACACCACAACCACAAGGACCATAAAGGAAATGAAAAATGAGGTCAAAATCAAAATTCTTTTGTTTAAGGAAAACTCGCAACTACACGATGTCACGATCCTTTATGTTTTAATTTATCAACATATGATTCTGCAGAACTTTTTAATTGTTTAATTTTGAACTGTTACCCTAAGACTAAGTCTTATTGATTTTGATTGCTCGTTTTGTTGTTCCTAGATGTTATAAACATAATTTGTATCATAACCAGAAGTGATTTAACAAAAAAAAATTAAAAAAAAAAAATCATAAACCAGAAGTAATTCGGAAAAAACTTTTATCAGAGTAGAGTTTTTACTTGTCCGTAATTTTTACCATTTATTTTGATTTGCTACTTTGATCTCTTCTACATATTAATAAGAAATTTTTCAAAAAGGAAATTTTATTTGTTGATAGTGATCAAAATTTTGGTTGCCTTTAATGTATTTTTAGGGAAATGACGTTAGAATAATGACGACAGTGTTTTGTTTTTGCTCGTAAATATACAATAAAAAGCATATAATAAAACTTCCCAAACTTTACTCTATATGTGGCATTTTTTTTGTCGGTAAAACTAAAAAGTAGCGTGGCGTGTTTCACCGCTTTCACGTATGAGACAAAAACAACCTATGAATGGGAGACTTTTTCCGTCTCCTTCATTCTACATATTTTGGGTAATTGATACTTTCCTCGTTTTTCATAGAGAAACTCTACTTTTCGAGTATTTTACATAACAACCCCTCATAAACATTATAATCAGAAAAGCCCCCTCAAATTCTCTTTCTTTTGATCATTCTCCTTCAGGACGGAGGAAGACGAAAGACTGAACCTTTCTACCCTTCTTCCCAACAGAAAATGGCAGGGTCAATCTCGACCTCGTGGTTGTTATCGTCTCCTTCGAATTCGAAATCGGTTTCGAGCTCAGTCTCTTTCTCTTTCCTGGCCACCTTGAAACCATTCCGGTATTATCCATTTCAATCACGGAGCTCAGATCGGATTTCATCGAGATCTCCGTTGCCCTCAATTCTGATCCAAGCTGGAATCCGCGAGTTACGAGAACGAATCGACAGTGTGAAGAACACACAGAAGATAACCGAGGCAATGAAACTGGTGGCGGCGGCTAGGGTTCGTCGAGCTCAAGAAGCAGTCATCAATTGTAGACCTTTCACCGAAACCCTTGTCGGGATTCTCCACTCGATTAACCAATGCGCTCAATTGGAAGACATCGATTTTCCTCTGAGCGTCGTTAGACCCGTGAAGAGAGTTGCCTTGGTTGTTGTGACTGGTGATAAAGGCTTGTGTGGTGGTTTCAACAATGCAGTGATCAAGAAGGCTAATTTACGGGTTCAAGAGTTGAAGCAGAGAGGAGTAGACTGTGTTGTGATAAGCGTAGGTAAGAAAGGTAATGCTTATTTTAGTCGAAGAGATGATATCGATGTGGATAAATGTATTCAAGGAGGAGGGGTTTTTCCAACGGCAAAAGAAGCTCAAGTCATTGCAGATGATGTGTTTTCGTTGTTTGTGAGCGAGGAGGTGGATAAAGTTGAGCTTGTTTACACAAAGTTTGTGTCTTTGGTGAAATCTGATCCTGTGATCCACACTCTGTTGCCTTTGTCGATGAAAGGGGAGTCTTGTGATGTGAAAGGAGAGTGTGTTGATGCTATGGAGGATGAGATGTTTAGGCTAACGAGCAAAGACGGGAAGCTAGCTGTGGAAAGGACGAAGCTTGAAACTGAGAAACCTGAGATTTCACCATTGATGCAGTTTGAGCAAGACCCTGTTCAGATTCTCGATGCAATGATGCCTTTGTATTTGAACAGTCAGATTCTAAGAGCACTGCAGGAATCTTTAGCGAGTGAGCTAGCGTCAAGGATGAGCGCGATGAGTAATGCGACTGATAATGCAGTAGAACTGAGAAAGAATCTGACGGTGGCTTACAATCGGCAGAGACAGGCTAAGATCACCGGAGAGTTGCTGGAGATAGTGGCTGGAGCCGAGGCTCTTCGTGGGTCTTAGTTAGAAACTGAAGTTGTGTTTGTCCATTTATTGTTGTTTTTGTAATGTCATGAAAGAATTAACAGATTATGACAGAGGTTTTACTCAATACGGTATCACTCTCATTAAGCCGACAAAAGACTGATAATGAATTCCATTTGTCTCGAAGAAGACAAACAATTTAAAAAAACAAGCTGAGCAGAAGTAACGGCAAAATACGTCTCAAGTACTTGGTGGATTTCTAAACTCTAGACAACACAAAAAGGAGATAAAGAGAGTGAAAACATCATTTGGTTGGTTCTTTAAATGAGCCCCACAACAAAAAAAAAGTTTTTTTTAACCACCTACGCAAAACGAAAATAAGAATGGTAAAAAAGAGAGTTTTGAATCGATCTCCATCATCATCTTCTTCTTCATCATCATCATCATCGTCATCTTCCTCTTCACTCAGATTTGTGTTTAAAGGTACTTGAAAAGGATACCACCGTGGGTGGCAAAGAAGGGAGCAAAGACAAGAGACTCAACAGCCATGAGCTTGATCAGGATGTTCAACGAAGGTCCTGAAGTATCCTTCAATGGGTCTCCAATGGTGTCTCCAATAACAGCTGCCTTGTGTGGCTCGGAACCCTTTGGCCCAAGGCTCTTTGCGTGCTCTGATACACCCGCCTGCAAATAACACAGCAATTGTTAGGGATTTGATTTCATCTCTTAAAACGGTTTGTCTCGATAAGCTGATTAGAAATATATATACCTCAATGTATTTCTTGGCATTGTCCCAGGCACCACCAGTGTTAGATGCAGAAATGGCAATCTGTTTATATGAAACAAGAAGGTGGATGAGCAGATAGTTTAAGAATAGCCAAGTTATACACGAGAACTGAGAAAAAAAATTATACCTGAACACCAGAAACAAGAGAGCCGGCGAGAACACCAGAGAGGGTCTCAACCCCAAAGAAGAATCCAACTATGAGAGGTGTGAGCATGACGAGGCAACCAGGAGGAATCATTTCCTTGATGGAAGCATCGGTGGAGATCTTGACGCATGTGGCATAGTCTGGTTTTGCGGTACCTTCCATGAGTCCAGGGATGGTGTTGAACTGCCTGCGGACTTCTTCAACCATCTTAAGAGCTGCACTTCCCACACTCTTCATTGTCATGGCTGAGAACCAGTAAGGAAGCATGGCACCAACAAGCAGTCCAATGATAACCTTAGGGGTCAAAACATCCACGGTGTGGACACCTGCACGGCTCACAAAGGCACCAAACAGAGCCAAGGAGACTAGAGCAGCAGAACCAATGGCAAATCCCTGTACAAAACAGACCAGAATTAAAAGTCATATTACATCAAAAGCAAAGGCAACCTGAGGGTATGATTAAACACGCAACTAAGTTGCAGTAAATACCTTTCCAATAGCGGCAGTGGTGTTTCCAGCTGCATCAAGAGCATCGGTTCTTTCACGGATGCGGTGGCTCATTCCAGCCATTTCAGCAATACCACCAGCATTGTCACTGATGGGACCGTAAGCATCAATTGCCAAACCAGTGGCGATGGTACTGAGCATGCCTAGAGCAGCAACAGCAACACCATACATAGCAGCAAAGCTGAAGCTCACGAATATACTGGCAGCAATGGCAAAGATTGGAATAATGACGGATTTGTAACCAAGGGCCAGTCCGAATATAACATTGGTGGCTGCACCAGTTCTGCATGAATCTGCAACACCTTGCACGGGGCTGCAAGAACACCGGGACATTAGAGTTTGTCATACTAACTAACTGGAAGAAAATATAGTAATCAAATATGGTGAAAGTAGTTTCTTACCTGTAGGCGTTGCTAGTGTAGTATTCAGTGACAAAACCAATAATGAGTCCAGCCCAAAGACCAACACAGACACACAGGAATAGCTGCCTGGAATACAAAATTGTTCAGCAGAATCAGAATAATGCACCGTAATAGAGAGGCTTAAATCCAGAAGTGCAGAAAGAAAGGACAAAAAAGCAACCATACAGTTTATTTGCAAAGAAGAAGGGTCTTACCAGTTCTTCACGACTTTTTGTGTTCCAAAGTTGAAGATGGTAAAGGAAGACGGCAAGCCAACCCATGACACAATAGCAATTCCAACAGTCATGATGACAGTAGAGATGATGAGCTGATTCTTCAACGCAGGCTCAATCTCCTTAACAGCCTTAATCTCAAAGAAATCGGTGGCGAAGAGAGTTGTGATCAAACAAACCAAGATACCCATTGAGCTGATGAGCAATGGGTAGAGCATGGCAGTGAAGTCATGGTTGATTCCAAAGGAAGAGATCGAAGCGACAACGAGAGCGGCACATGATGCTTCAGCATACGACCCAAAGAGGTCAGATCCCATACCAGCAATGTCACCAACATTGTCACCCACATTATCAGCAATGACCTGTAACATAACGTTCAAAATTAACTCCAAAAATGGAAAAAAAGGAGAAGCAAAAGCAGTGTCTTATAACATACACAGTTAAAAGATGTACTTACAGCTGGGTTCCTTGGATCGTCTTCAGGAATATTCCTCTCAATTTTACCGACAAGGTCAGCACCCACATCAGCTGCTTTAGTGTAGATCCCACCACCAACACGGCCAAAGAGAGCCATGGAAGACCCACCAAGCCCGTAGCCAGTGATAGCCTCAAAAAGACCTTCCCAATCATCTCCGTAATAGATCTTGAACACATTGATGGTGATGTATAGCACCAAAAGACCACTTGCAGCAAGAAGGAAACCCATCACAGCACCGGACCTGAACGCAACAATGAACGCCTTTCCGACACCTTTCCTTGCTTCCAAGGTGGTTCTAGCGTTGGCGTAGGTGGCAATCTTCATCCCAAGAAAACCAGAGAGAACGGAGGTGACTGCACCAAGCACGAAAGCAACCGTGCTGAAAGCTGCGGTGGCCAATGCAGGCTTGCAAGTTTTGGTATCGTCGTAAGTGCAAGGCTTGTTCTTTGTGCTGAATCCCTCGACAGAGCCGAGGAAAACAAAGATGATAGCAGCAAAGAAAACCATGAAGACACCAACATATTTGTACTCGGTGAACAAAAATGAAGTTGCACCTGTTCCCACACACCAACCAGATCCCAAAATTATTCACTTTTTTGGACAATAATACATCACTAGGGAATCTATAAGATACTACTGACAAGTTCTCTAACATTCCAAAACATCCTTATTTCAATACAAGACAAAAATCAAAATTGAAACAGAGCCAGATCTAAGAAAAGAAGCGTGAGATCTGAATCAAGTAACACGAGATCTTACCTTCGGAAATAGCGGTCTGAATCTCGGCGCACTTGGCGACGACACTCTGCTCGTTAAGACCTTCCTCTTCCTCGATGAGGTAATCTCCGTAGCCATTTTTCCCATTGTTTGAGCCACCGGAAGACGACGACGCGCCTTGGTCGGCGGTGACTCTCACGCGAGAGACGATGAACCACTGGAAGAGCGAGAAAGCGATGCCGATCACCGCACAAACAGGCACCAGGATCTCCGTCCAGAGCTCCGGAAGAAACGCCGACGCCACCATCTCTCCTCCGAATAGAGAAAGCAGAAACCGAAGATAACGAGAGAGAGAGAGTAGAGAGAAAGGAAGGGAAGTGTTTTCGACGAGATGATGAAATGAAGGCGTAAACTCGGTGAGGATATCGTGTCGTTTTATAACACTGACTCTCCTCCTCTTGGATGCTCACATCCACAACGAAAGTTGGAATCTGGTACGGTTAGTTACACCGTTCTTTACGCTACACCCCTCGTTTCTTTTTTTTTCTTTTTTTTGATTAGAAAGCGCGTGCAGCCGACGCTCCAAATTGTCGGAAGGTATAATCTCGTTTCGTCTACCGATAGTTATCAGACACGAGGGACAAGTAACGCTCGTGTCCATCTTCACCGTCGATTTTAGGGTAAGAGACACCAACTACGTGTGCATCCATGCGCTTGTGTCCGTCCGACTGTCAGGTACACGATTAGCGCTCTTTTTGATTCGTAGTCAATTGTCTACGTGTAGAAATTAATTAGTTTTCCTTTTTTTCTCACTGGTGGAAATTAATTAATTAGGTGAATCTTATGCTTATCCATGGTATATTCGAGTGTTTATACAGTAATGGTATTCTTACCAAATCCAGTGTATATGGACTAACTAATATCATTGAATCTCAGCTCGTCATAATTTTCAATGAGGGATTCAATGTGTGTGCATACTATCAGATATGGATATGGTTAAATCATTTGATATCATTAGGATAAATACAAAGTCAAATTTTCAGTTGAAAAAAAACCGTATCTATCTTTTTAATTACAACAAACCATGTGTATTATCGTAAACACTATGAAAAAAAAATTAAAACTGTGTTTTCATTTACGTGGGATTTTATTTGGGGATATACTTTTTTGTGAAAAGATAAACTAATTATATGCATGTGCGGATTGATATCTAGCTGTGAAATAAAGATAACAATATTCGGAGAAACAAAAAAAGTTTCAGTTTTTAATCAATATTATAAAGTGCAATAAGAACTCGTTTCGTCTCTGTATAGGAATCGATTCTACAGTACTTTCGCAACTTGATTCGACGTTGTACTAAATTATTTTGGCATTTGTTCCATTAAGTTGGATTCCAAAACCTTTTTACGAGTTTATCTCTTCTTCATACGAGGGAAGCCCTGTACAAGATTTTTTTTTTTTCCGAAGGAAGCCCTGTACAAGATAAGGTGCACACTTCACGTATATAGATATTTCCTCAGACCAAGAATAAAGTAAATTGATGATTCTTCGAAAAAAAAAATTCTTTAGCAAAAAGATGGATATATAGCGGAGGCCTTTTCGAGCGGCTGTGACGTATTAATGTGTATTGAATGGTGTGCAACCCTCCAATCGGATAAATACTCTTTTGAAAAAATATCTTAATTAAAAATTTATATTGTGGATTTTTGTTAGCATTAATTAATTTCTTGTAGTATCAGTGAGTGAGTAGTGACCACTCATGCTTTATCTTCCTCCCTCTTGTTCCCTTTTTTGCAGGTTGCTAATCAATCTGGAAAATTTACCACGTAATGAAAACTAAAAAATCTTTCCTAGGTATGTGGCTGACATTAGGGACTAGAGACTATCTCTTATTATCTTTCAGTCAAGATTTAGTATTTTAGTTCCCTTAGTTATCAGTTATATAATCAATACTATATGGCATAGGTTATCCAAATGCAGAGGTGTAAACGTAGAATTCAAACCAATCCAACTAATTAAAGTAACAATAATTGAATTAAGAAAGAAGCGGATGATTTTACACGGTAACAATTCCGACTTTCCGTGACATGATTAGATGATCGTCGCTGTCGTAATTATATTGTTTTCTAATTAAGGCAATCAAAGCCTCACCAAAATTTGGTGATACCTCTATGTTTATAATCTTTTATATATTGACAAAATGCCATAAAACGGTGACCAGTACAATCTATCTTAATAAGATTCGTAGAAACTTGAAATATATGGACGAACTATTGTTCTTCATAGAAATATATTTATTTTGATAAAAGTCACGGATGGTTCATTTCTATGTTTAAAGGTAAAATGTTGAATTATTTGATTTATTGATGTGAGTTATATTTTTAAGAACATGTGGTCCTTTATTTATTCTTTTATTCATGTCAGATACTTTATTGGTATCTAGAAAACGTATAATATCTAGATGATTTTTTAAAATTATTTTTGGCGTAATGGGAGGTAGCAAATCTTGGGGAAAATCATGTATTAAAATAATAATTGTAATAAGTTATCGCTTTATCTTGAAGAGAGAAGGGAGGGATTAAGCAGTACACCAAGTGACCAAACCAAGTGACCTTGCAAGAGTTAAGGAGCGGTCCCATAATATTCCTGCGGGTAAGTGGGACCCATTGCCACGTCAAATAGATCGTGACCCTTGGATTGGTGGGTGTAATGAGTCCCTCTACGTTCCATATCCCTCTCTGTTAATAAACAATTCTCTCTGATATGGTCTCACCGACACAAGTCCAGGTAACTTTGTTTTCTCATTTGTCTCGACGGAATCATAAAATCATTATTAACTAGCTCATTTGTGTGTTGTCCAAAAAAAAAACTAGTTCATTTGTAAAAAAACAATATTTTTCTTGTTTTGCAAATATCAAAATTTACGCTTACACTCAATTTTCTATCCAAAATTAGCTAACATAAACTCAAAATGTTGTCCCTCTGTTCTTTTGTTTCGTAGTTTATCAAAGAAAGGGAAATGACAGATAATATATGGAATATTCGAGATTCGTTGGCATTTGTAGAAATCCTCGCCAAACCCATTTATTCGTTTTCTTCACATCTCGAGTCTTGACTCTGACCACTCTGCTAATCCATATGTCACACCTTGACCTCATTATCAACTTAATCAGGCCTTTATCTAACCATTTCTGGGCTTTGGCCCAAGATAACGATGGAGGAAGCAGCCATTTTTATGACAAAATCATTCTATTTGGTGTGGCTGTTAAACACTTTTGGCTACACTAACCCAACTAAGAGGATGACACTATCGCCTATGGAAATATGGCCTAATTACAATTGTATATAATGTCCACCAAAAAGGAAAAAATGTGTAGTTATGAAAAGATACATGGCTTCCAGGAACGCCTTACTAGAGATCTTATACGTGGTCTTGCTTTTGCGTGTGAGATTTGGAGCTTTCAATCTCTCCTTGCTCTTGCATGGGAAGATAAAACGTGTCTATATCATCATCGATAATCAAAGCTATTGGTCTTTCCTCACTCTTGCGCTTGTGCCTCTATAACTTTTGTAGTGGAGCTACTTGTCTCTCATTGCTCTGGTTCTGTGAGGGTGAAACGAAAATCATGTGATTCGGGAATAGTTTGTTCAGAAGCTCATTCCAAAGTTTCTTGGTCACATCGTAGAATAGCATCATAAATTCTTTAAAGCGTCCCGTTGGCAATGATTATTATCTACAAATAATGTAAATGAGATGTGGAATAGAAAGTTAAACACATGTATTCTGAAGCAGATTGTTTTGGAGTAAAATTATCAATTTTCTCAATATTTTTGTTTATGCCTTATCTAGATAGAGCTTTGGTGGATCGTTCAAAAGAGTTTTGCACAAACAGTCACTATTTTAAGGAAATAAAAAATTAGTTTATAAACACTTTCTAATTAGTTTTTGTTTTGTTGTTGCAAAAGTAGCATTTTTGATAATTTTGATCCTAAATAATACGGTGTGATTTTTGGATAAAAAAAAGTGTTAAGAACTAAAAACTTTAAAAATAAGCGACGAGAAACCGATGCAATGAATCACCCCAAAAAAAAGAAAGAGAAAAAAATGTCGTAAAATGCTTTATTCATATCAGTCTAAGATGAAATTGTTCGTATTTTAGTTCCTTACTTCATTATTTGACTTTTTTTTTATAAGAAACTCTATGTAAATAGTATATAATTAAAAAAACAAAGAAATGATTAGTGTGGGAAAACTAGATACAAATTTACCGCAAATAAGAAGTAATCAAGGTGAAGTGAAGTAATACTTAAACTTTAAACCACGTTATTTGGTCGAAAAACAGAAAAAAATTAGAAAACATGGTTAGTTGCATCGAGTCTAGCAGCATATTCAGTTATCTCACAAGTCAAAGCTTTTTTCTTGGTGCGGTCACTGGTCAGTTAGTCAAGATGAAAAGCGAAAGAAAATAGAGGAAGCTGAGTCTGGCGATCCAAACACTTTTTAAGACGATTGTAAGTTCTGAAATCTAACACGATCGAAACGGTACCAAATATTTTACACATCGATACTTTTGTCCTTTCAAGCTTAATCTTCAGTGGATCAATAGAGCAAGGACTTAGTTGGGTGACACAAAGTTGTGCAAGTTAAAAGATCAACTGCTAAATTTAGTAAAATCACACAACAAATCTTCAGAAACACACCAAAAAAAAAAGAAAAATCAATCAACAAAAAATTTACAGTCAAGCCTTATAACTTTTTCTTACATCTATAGAATATTTGTACAGTCGCACCGAAAAAAACCAACCGACCAATTATGCGTGCATTTCGTATGAACGACGTCACAAAAGATTGGAAACCCCATATTTTTTAAATCTCCAAGAAACAACCAGCTTGAACGTGACCTTCATATCTTTCAGGTGTTTCCAGCTTTACCCATCGAAAATTGCTAATATCCCAATTATACCCTACGCTTGGTTCACCGTACCGAGCCGAACCGATCACGACCAGCTTCCCGGACCTCCTTACCGCCACGTAAGACACATTGCACACGTCAGCAGGAAGATTCCCAACTTTATGCCACGTGTCATCTCTCATCACCATCAGATCACGGCGACAACAAGCGTAAAGTTCTCCGTTTTCACCGGCTGCACAGACCGGAGGCCACGTAGTCATCCCCGAAGAAAGGAAATCCTCCGCCCGTTGACTCCACTGCCACGTGGTAACGTCGAACGACTCAGCGGTTTTACTAAACCGCCCTTGTTCCTCCGTGGCGTAACCACCTATGACGTGGAATTTGCCAGCGCGGTAAATCGCCGTGCATTCGTCTCGCTCACGGCCCATATCTGGCAATAAAGCCCATCTATCTTCTGCCACGTCATACACAAGAGCTGACGTCAGTGCGTTCTTGTCTTCGTCGTGTCCACCCGCCACGAACACGTTCCGTTGAGAATCCGAAGCGCAGGCGAAGAAGGAACGTGATCCACCTGGCATGCTCGTCCCGTTTCGCCACGTGGAGGTTAAGAAGGAGAAGATGAAGACCGAATCAGAGGTCCGCCACGTGACCGGGTCAAGCCCACCGATTACAACAAGATCCGACCCGACAGAAGCTAATCTACAAAACAGAGGCAATCCGCTGGATTTACCGGGAACCGGAGGCAGCTCGATCCATAAACCGGACTCTGGTTCGAGAACAGAGATCCGGTACACGGGTGTGGGGATGGTTTTCCCGGACCCGAGTTCTTTAACCGGATCGACACGAGCCTGAGACAAGACAACAAGCTCCTGGCTATGGCCTGAAGCTTTCCGGTGTCGGAAAAAATCAGGGAGGCTGATTTCTCGCTGCCAGAGTTTGCAGACGGAGGCGATCAGAGGGAATTGCTGGTAAGAGGCGCGTAGGAGACACTCGCGGGCTACGGTTTCGGGAAGATCAGGGATAAGCTCCATTGTAATTAGAGAAATTTCAATGTTGAATAGAGAGATTTTTTTTGTGAATAATTTTTCAAGAAAAATAATATTCGCGTTAGGATATGAATGATGTGAGAGAGAAGAGTGTGGGCACTTTATAGGGATAAGTCTTCTAGAAGCTAGTCAGCTAGAAACTGAAAGTGGAATTTTTAATTCTATAATAGAACCTTTGTTTTATTTGACTTGTATTGAATACATAGGGTTGATTAATTGATTTGCTATATTGCAAAAATATGGTCAACTTGTGTATATATGATGGTAAGGCTAGAGATGTGAATATTTCTAGAAACGTAAATGTTACGTTCTTTTTAAAAAGGAAAAAAAATAAAAGTTCTACTATGTTATTTGAATTCTTTTGCTTTTAGGACTCTTTTTTTTTTGTATTTATATACACAGAACGTTGTTCGATAAGCGTATCTGAATTTTCACTGAAAGGAGAAGGTAACGGAATTCGGGAGATAGTACCGATCGGTTAATGTGCGGTTTTGGTTTATTTGATGGAGACGTTGTACCAATTGGGACATGTTGAATGATGCGATGGCCGTTGGATTTTAGATCTGCCAGCAGTTTTGTGACCAATCTGATTAGCTAAATGAAAGTCTCGTTAATTAATTTATTGTCGACTGTCTATTTTACTAATTAATTAATCCATATGTCTTTTTCTTTTGGTATATATATCGTAGATTACTCGTGTATTGAATAGAGAATTACATATAACGAAGAGAATCTGTTGACAAACTGATTGATTAATCCACTATTCACGTTTAGCGTCTTGATAATATAAGTTTGGACTGTCTAAATAATTAATGAATCTTCAAGTAACGTGTTGATGAGAAGGTTCTATCACATCTGTAGCTTCTACGTTGTAGCTTAGATGGAGTATTAATTTAGCTGAGTAGTGGTGAATTATAGTAATACATATAAAATGTAGATGGTATGTAGAGATATCTAAAATCAATGCTATATTATTTATTTTGTTTCACAGAAAATCAATGCTATATTATCACATAATAAAAATGAAAAGTCAGAATATGGTAGTTAAAATATTCGAGATGAGTTTTGTGAAGGTCTGTCCATGTGATCCCATGTGGCATAATTATTCACGAAGACATGCTAACCAATAGCCACCCAAACGGTTATTATATTTTATTGCCACAATTAATATTATATCATATCATATCAATGAACTAAGAGCAAGGTTTTGAAGAGTTTATGACATAAATTCTAAAACAAAATACAATAAAAAAATAAGAAAAAGAGTAGGGGTTCATGGCCCAGGTTTTTTCCGACAAACTTGAAGGACAGTCTCTTCACACGTGGCGCATCATAATTAATCTAAAAATAATTTTCGAATTTAAAAAAAAATATATATATATTATTATATGCTAGTAAAACCCCTTTCTTTAGAGATTTACTGATAGACATGTTCTAAAATGATTAATTGGTTATTGGACTGGAACCTAAAAGTTAATGGTTTGTACTTCATATTATTATTGTGTTATATATAATGAGGTTTTGAATCTGGAAATATACATGTGTGAATTGTAAATAATAAATGAAAGAAAAAGACTGTGATTATTTGATTCAATTAAGGATTTAATAGTTATTTAAGTTATTAATTAGTTCGAGTTGTAACTTTCTATGGATTTTAAGTGCAAATTTTCTAGTATATTGGGACAACAATTCAGAAAATTAGAAGCTCATAACAAAAAAGAATATACATACATGTTTACATATAACATCATTACCATTTAACTAGTGTACGTTTTTCGTGGTGACCCCAATCCTGCACCTATGAAAACAATTTTTTTTGTCCTGTCCGAACGTATAAAACTATAAAACTATACTTTAACAAAAAAAATATATAATTAAAGCTATATTTTTCATAAACGACACACTAATACAAAAATAATACTGCGTTTGATTGGGTCGAATTGAAAACGAGTCACACATATTAAAAGACGATAACACAAATTTCAGAAGGTACACTAAGGCGACTTTAAAGAGGCAATCTCTTTCTCTTGTCGCTGTCATTGACAATGTTTTTTGTTTTTTGTTTTTTCTAACAATTGTCATTGATAATGTTTCAAGTAAACATTTTTTAAAAAGTTTAGTAGATGCCATTTGAATGACAAAAAAATACATATCTCATTAAAATTTTATGATATGTTCGAAAAGCAGGCGTAATTCAAACGTGTTTTGTATATATAAGATTAGCGTGTTTATTTTCTGAGCATGGGATTGTTCTAATAGACTAAGACCAAAAACGAAAATAAAATAGCTTTTTACGCCAGGAATTTTTGTTGTTATCTTTCTAGTCACCTTAGAGTTTATTTTTATTTCATATAAATGAGAATTTCCTGACAACCGTACAAATTATTTAACATAGCCCATCCAAAATATTTATATCTCGTAAGCGTACCTGGAAAACGTGTAAATATGGTATTTAGAAAACAAACGACAGCTAAAAAGATGCAAAGTCCTCTTTAATATTCGGGGGGCGTCTACTTAATTCTTTTTTCATTTCCTTCACTTTTTTTCCCTTTTTTGTTCTGCGTGTCTGTCTTTTGTTTATTTCTGTTTTCAATTAGCAAATGTATTTGCAATATATAGCAGCAATAAATAACAAGAAAATGAGATGATATTGTTTCTTTCTATTAATAATTAAATGATTAGACATATTTTGGATGTTTTCATCTTATTATTTAGCACGTTAAATATTGATATATCACATTTACAAAAAGTATCAAGTCTATTTAAATGATTTAACAAATAGTGTGTTAAATTTTACTCAACCTTTTCTCGATATCCTATTACTATTTGAGTTTTCTAATCGCAATTCGTACAATTTCCATTTACCTAAAATAAGTCTTCGACATATTGCTATCTACCTATTAACACTAATATCAAATGCCTAACTGGTACAGTGACATTAGATAACGTTAAGTTATAGTACCAATGACTAGCGCTGTCATACGGGTCGGATCCGCCCCGCCTGACCCGCTCCGCCGCGGGTTCGGATTGAAATTATCCGCCAAAAGAAGATCCGCAAAACCCACAAATTATATATTGGATACCCGCACCCGCATCTAATTAATCAAGCGGGTCTGCGGGTTTACCCGCCACATATAAAAATTCAAAAAAAAAAAACTGAAAAATCATACATGACTGAAACATAAGTTTTAAATGGAAATAAACATAAGTGATTAAGTTACAATACAGCATAAGTTAAACATAAGTTCTTTTTCTCCAAACAGTATTCAAACTTAAGCAAAAACAAATTTTAAAGAGGTGAAAACAGAATTCAAACTAAAGCAAAAACAAACTTCAAAGAGGTGAAAAGGAATCTCTTCTCTTCTTATAGTCATTTTTGTATTTCGTCTTTTTTGTTGCTCTTTGATGGAGTTTCTCACTTCACCTATAATGGATTTGGTAAATATACAAGTTAGTAAGACCTTAATGAAAAGCATAAAGTATTTAAAAAAACTAAAAAAGTAAGTTTGCAGCTAGCATAAGAACTACGTAATTCTAACAAAAGCAAAGTATTCCTTACGAAGTGGAAGCCAACGACTCTAGTGAAGGTAAGTTATCATCTTCACCATCGGATGCACCATTATCTAATTATTTCAAACAAAGTTTCAAAATTAGTATCACCATAACTATTAAAGTATAACTGAAAAATAAGACAGTGACTTACCATTGTCATATGCTTCAAAACCTCGAAGCCAATTACGAGCACATATCAAGGCTTGGACATTTCGTGGGAGAAGACAACTTCTGTATTTATTTAAGACCCGTGATCCAATGCTAAAGGAAGACTCAGATGCTACCGTTGTTATAGGTATGCTGAGAAGATCACATGCCATCCTAGATAACTCCCCAAACCGATGAGAATTTTCTTTCCAAAAACTCAAGACATCTAAAGTTGGAAACATCTCCATGTCTACTAGTGGTTCTTCCAAATACCTATCCAATGCAGATTTTCCACTAGCACTAACATTCTTTTTGCGAAAGTTGTGAAAATCCTACATCAATCCAAACAAATAATGTGTAAGATCTTTTTAGCAAAACATAAATATCTATAGAAACACTTACATTATAATTGATGACACCCTTCCCATGCGACTGAAAATTAACAACTCCAGCCACCGATGATGAACTTTCAGCTGCTGGCTTGGAATAAGATTGAAAAAGCAGTTTCAGTTTCTCTTGCACGTGCTCCATTTTTTGTTGACAAGTACTCTCATCCAGATTTGTGTAACAATACTCTAGCAGTTGTAGCTTAAATCTAGGATCACAAACAGCCGCCATTGCAAGAATCTCACTCTTGTCATGCCAATACTTGTCAAATTTTTACCTTTCATTGTCTCAACCATATTGATAATAACAGCTTCTCCACTATACTCATGTGCTTTTAGCCAAAACTCAATTTTGTACACTTGCATAAAATACAGGTTGGAGGTCGGATAAGTTGAACCTGAAATCAGGTTGGTTATCTCATCAAACGGTTGCAGGAGCTCACAGATTTGTACGCCTAGTTCCCACTCAGAATCTGTGGGAAGAGCCTTGTAACTTGGATCAATGCCTTCATAACTATCAAATGCAAAACGGTAGACAATAGCTCTATCAAGCATTTTAAATGTAGAGTTCCAGCGAGTTGGTACATCCAATGTTAAACCAGCCTTAACATCAATCCCAGCAGAATCCACACAGGTTGCAAACAACTTACCCCGAGCCTCTGAAGCTTCAACAAATTTGATACTATCTCTGATTTTTCCTAAAGCATCACCCATCACCTTTAATACTTCTTGTACAATCAGATTTAGAATATGGGCAGAGCATCTTACATGGAAGAATTCTCCACCACAGAGCAAGTCGTTTTGAATTACCAGCTGCTTCTTCAAAATGTTTGGCATGCTGTCATTGTTACTAGCATTGTCTAAGGTTAGAGAAAATACTTTTTTTTCAATTCCCCACTCTTTCCACATCTCTAAGACCTTCATTGCTAAGTCTATTCCCGTATGTGGAGGAGGCATAGCACAGAAAGACAGAATCTTATTCCTTAGCTTCCACTAACTATCAACATAATGGGCGGTCAAGCAAATATAACCTTCCACAGTTATAGCGGACCATAGGTCAGATGTGAAGGAGATTCTACCAGGAATTTCAGACAATTCTACCTTCAACTTTGACTTTTCCATCTCATAAAACTTATAAACATCTGCTGCAGCTGTATTTCTACTTATAAACTTCACATCAGCATTCAAATACTTCCAGATCAACCTAACTCTATCATATTCTACATAAGAGAAGGGGAGATCATGCTCAATTATGCACTTTGCTACCATTTCACGAAATACACCTTGACCAATCTTTCTAGATTGCAATTTCCCTTCTCCACTAACAAGCATAGCACCTACATCACCATCTCTAGGCGTTCTGATGCACACTAGTGAATGTCGGTTATAATTAGAGGTACCTTGCTTGTGTGATTCATAAGCATAGTCCTTAGTGCAGTGATTGCACTTAGCTCTGAGTTCAGAGACACCTTCACTATTGACCTTAGTGATGACAGTGAAATTATCCCACGCTGGTGAGTTTTTTTTCCTCTTGTTCTTAGTTGCTAGAGACTCCTCCGCAGGTAAACTTGATCCCTCACTAGCAGCAGTCGGATTCCTTGGCATATTACCACCATCTGCTGGATTAGCCGGATCCATTCTCAGAATCTGTTAAAAAGAAGAAAAAATTAGAAAATGAAAAGTTGAGAGTTGAGAGTTTAATCGATCTAGGGTTTTGAGAGTTGAGAGTTGAGGAGGCGGCGTGCTCTTGAGTCTTGAGAGTCTTAAATTTATAAAAATATATCCTGGTTTAATAAATCAATTCTTGGGCTGTATTATATTATAAGGCCCAGACGTTATATTTTAACACCAAAAGCGAAACAATCCAATTATAACCCAACAAAAAAATGCAATTACAATCCAATCAAAATCAAATGCGGGTATCCGCAAACCCGTTTATCTAAAAACCATCACCCGCATCCGCCCCGCATTTAACAATTCCCAACCCGCATAATCTCTAATCCACATAAGTTGAAATTAGACAACCCACACCCGTTCCGCGGCGAGTTTAACGGGGCGGGACCCGCGGTTAATGAACCAAAATGACAGCGCTACCAATGACCCAAAATTTCCTTACTCGACGAACAGATAATAAACTGTTATTGCGGATAAATAGTCATATCTCTAGAAAAAGTGCAAAACAAATCACGTGATTCACGTTCATATATATGTAAAAATGTATATATGTCTTTTATTGTATGATTTTCATGTAAAAATAATACTTATGTGTCGTATGATGTATCATGTATGATGTATGTAGTTTGTACTATGTAGGGATGTCAATGTGGCAATCCTCTTCATCTAACTTAGAGAATTACCACTTTACTTTATATCTCTTTCAAACACTAAAAGATTAGTTTCAGTAACGTAGGATGTCCTCACTCTTCACAATAAAAGAAAAACCATCATAATCGTGAGAATCCGTAAGTAACAACATTTTCACCGATAATATAAAATAATACAATTAATTTGAAGGAAATGGCATGTTCCATGCAACTTGGACTCGTTCTAGGGTCCACCACATCTCCAAGTTCATGACCATGAACATATCCGTATAAGCACTTGTACTGTAAGTTGTATAAGTTCATGCATTTATTTCCAAGTAAAAGCAACCATTTAAGAAAAAGAAAATAACAAATATTCGATAGTCCACTCTCCATATTAATTCTCAATGCTAATAGAAATCGGGCTTGCAAAAATAATTTTTCACCACTAGTCTTGAGTCTTGACCAATCCGTTGAATCGTTTTAAAGCAAATGAATAACGATAACTCTTGGAAATTGTGAAGCGAAATGATGAGACACACAGTGGGACAACAGGAAAGCCAAACCGGCACGGCGTCTGGCTGCAAAGGTTTGCAAAAACAACACGGCGTCTGGCGTACAATAATTGGAAATTAACAAACGATAAGGACTCTGATTGGTAACTTGCGGAATGGTGGAATTGCGTTTTTAAACACAATTCCACAGGTTTTTTGCCAATCAACAAAAATCTGCGTAATGAAAAAATACACATAAAAACGCTGACTGCGTTTTTGCTTAACAAAAATACAAAAAAAAATCATTCCGCAGAAAAGCGACTTATAAGTCGCTTAATCTATTCCGCAAGATTTTTTCCATAATTCTGCCATTCTGCAAAGTTACCAATCAAAGCCAAGGTGTCGATATATACCCCAAAGAGAAGCATCATCTATCGAGCTGGTTCTTCAGGTTAACGCAATAAACAATAAAACACACAAACACAAAAAGTGAATCATAGTGGTCATAAATAAGAAAACAAACAATTAGTAATATCACAAGCAGAGTCGTGCCTTCTCTTTTTCAAAAAAGGCATTTACCTTAGACCACAAACAAAATTTCAAAATTAAGGGTCACATCTTTTTAACAAATAGTTTAATTAGTAGGTTGAATTAACTTTTATATGTGGTTTTACCTATTATAAATATAGATTGTATGATTAAATTTTAGGATTTTAAACAAAATATCATATACTTACATCTATATACTTATATCATTATACTAATACATACATAAAATGGAATAAATGACTAAATTCTTACTTTTAAAATAGAATTTAGTTTATAATGATATATAAAATTATTAAAACAAAAGTTTTTTTTAAAAAATTTACAAATATTTAAAATTTGTCTTAGGCCTCTATAAGTCTAAGCACGGCACTGATCACAAGCATTACACTACGATCTTGTTGTTTCACAAAACTTAATAATAAAGCAGATGACAAAACAAGAAACCTAGAAAACAAACAAGTAAAACAAAAAAGAAACTATTGTATTGTAAAACACCAATGAATCTCAACGATATTTTATCAAACGATAGAGTATAATAATTTGACATATTTTTTATTTGTCGGCATATTTTGACCGCCTATTACGAATGATACTATATACTCCCTCCGTTTCACAAAGAGTGTCGTTTTAAAGTTTTATTTTTGTTTCACAAAGAGTGTCGTTTTATATTTTCAATGCAGAATTTTAAACAATATTCCAGTTTTGACCTCATTGATTTAATGTATTAATTAGAAAAAAAAGTTATTTAATGCATTAATGAAGGGCAAAATAGTATTTTTTAATAATTTTCTTAATAAGTGTAAAAAATGTCAGAATGACACTTTTTGTGAAACAGAGGGAGTAATGTATTTAAATTTAGAATACGTCACATAAAAAAAAAAATCTCTAAAACGTCGACGGTCATAATAATAAATCGTTTTATTTTTACTAGTCCAAATCGTTTAACACAACATTATATTTGGTCAGTAAGAAGATATGATATTTTTATGATTTACGTAATATTTGTTTGTACGGTCGACATCAAATCAAAATTCAAAAAGTTGTAGATATCCCGTGAATTTCATCAACTTGTATGTTGTTTTTACATCTTTCTACGATCCATTTGCATCATTATCGAATTTGCTGAGGTGTATGATATCTCTTCGATTACCAGTGAAATAAATGAATAACTAAATTATTTTGAACTTTTTGTAATACTTTTGAGCGTTTTTTTGTCTCCTTGTTTCTGTTAGTCTTGCCTGAAGTCAAGCGTAAAAGGCGGACGGCAGAATTCGAGAAAGGTCCCTCGAAACTGAGGCGTATTTACTCAGTTGGAATTCAAATACTATTCGCATAGATAATTCAAGCTTATAAAAGAAAGTAATATGGTCAGATTTTAATTTCCCAAGAAAGTAATACGTTCCTCCAAATTTATGGGTTATTGCCAATATTGGCATACTACCTAAAAAGTAAAATGGTGTACCAAAAATATAAAATTGCTACTTCTTTTAAAGGTTAGGACCATACTCAACAAGGAGATTTCAACTCAAAAATTTTTTTTTTTGTTGCGACACGATCCACGAAAAGTGGATCAAGGGCGGGATTGATATTGAGTTCAAGTAAACAAGTCTAAACAGTAGAAGCAGATAGGACATTTCGTTTTTGTTTTGGTTCTACATTTTTGTTATCGAACTACAACTAAAATTAATTCAGTCTGATTTCAACTTACTAATTAATAAAGAAAACAAAACAAAATCAAATCAAGAATGAAAGTTATTAAACTCGAATATTTATAACCTATAACCATCTTTTATTAACTTATCTACGTAGCTATACATTTGATTAGTTAGAGATTATTATATAATAAATAATAGTCAAGGCGGCTTTTAAGGGAGAGAGGTGGGGCACAAAAAGTGCCTAGAAAGAATACCAAAGACGTTGAGGCTAATCACCGTTATTACAAAGGGCAACATGACTAGTAAACATATGGAAGAAACCAACTGAAAGTTGAAACTCTCGGTTCCGTTTTTAGGAAGTCCAACACAGTTGCGGTTCGACAGAGACAGAATCACAGGTTTCGACCACCAAACTGATGGTCGTAGATAAAACTAAGCATAAACAGATTTACGATTAAAACAGAATTTGCTTTGATTACTTTCCTCCTAGCATTATGATTCATCAATACAAGGCGACTGAATCAACCAGCTCTTTGTAATCATCAGCGACAAATGATTTCACCTTATATACGCGCTTTTCATTTTCGCCCTTTTTCGCTGATGCAGTCTTTATGCCGATAACAGTAGTCAAACCTTTGAAAAACGAAGAGAAACTATGATCAGAAAAACACTCGAAAGATTAAAACCGAATGTGGTAAAAGAGAATATGTGGCTTACTCTCATGAATGCGTCCATACAAGAATCTTTCACCTCTCCAGTATTCAAGTGGTCTCGACTTAATTCTTGTACTTCGTCTGACACCAGATTCTTTTTCCCATTGAAGACCAGCACCTTAGAGAGAGGCATAAACAAAAGTTTAGCATGTTCAATCGATAGAGCTTTGAAGCATGAGTAGTCGAGTTTAGTTTCTTGGAAAGTCGATGTACCTGCAAGGCTTTTCCTACGAGAGAATAGTTTACTCTCACGTGTTAATTTTTTCGTTTGCTTCTTCTCCTCTCCCTTGTTCGATTTTATTTTGGTTTGCTTCTTTCCTCCACTTTCATGAGAAGATGTTTTCATTTTCTTGTCTCCCTCACTCTCGTCGTGCACAGTTTTGCTTCGCTTTTTCATATTGCTTTCACAAGATCCTCTGTTTCTCCGTTTATTTGTTTGTTTGTGTGAAGAGTTGTGAACCTCCTGCTGAAAAAGTTAACAAAGAAATCTCATATTCGTTTTGTTAAGTAAGCTCATACTTGACCTAGCCTAAAAAAAGCTTACACCCTATTAAAAACACACAACATCTGAAAAGAAACGAAATCCAACGATTTTCTGTTCAATGTATTATTTTTATCCTGGATTTAAAAACAAGGATCCAGCACAGAGGTCACAAAGTTCAAAACATGACCGAGTCTAACAACGTGAAGATGAATTGGCCTTGACTTGAACCGACAATGATGAAGAACTAACCTGAGCATTTTCTACTTGAAGTCCACAAGCAGTGTCAGTGTTGTTATTTTCCTCTCCATGTTGTCCTTGAATGTGCTCTGCATGTTCAAAGGATCCATCCATTGCGTTGTATTGTTCTGGAGCTCTGTTTGGAGATTTTGAGGACTCACCTATAGCAAAATAACGGCGTAATGAAAACCTTTGAGCCACAAATTTTAAGTGAACTGAGATTATTCTTGGAGAAGAATGTACTACTTAAGTTATTAGACATGTCAATTTGCTTGTTGAGTTTTTGAATTTTCAATATGGTATGCAGGTAGAAAAGATTACAATACCTTGCTGATCTGGGATGCTATCCTCTTCTACAGTAAAAGGATCCATTCTTACAACCTCTCTAGATGCAGATTCCGCCTATATCACAAACAAATTCACAAGATGTGATAAACAAGAGGTCCAGATATGTTAAGGTCCTGTACAGTCAAGGAGAAACTAACCAGGTTGTCTAATTGTTCAGTTTCTTCACTGAAATCAGCATCATTTGCTCTTCTGCCAGTGTTTCTGTTTGCTTCACTTTCACTCATGGGCAAATCTCCCTCATTTCCTTTTGTTTGCATATTTACGTTCACCTCTCGAGTGGCTGAATTTATGTTTGTGATGCTATCATCCACACAATTATCTGCGTTCCTATCTGGACTTGAAGGAGATCTATGGATGCCAGAATGAGTATCAGAACCACTTTCACAGGAACTCTTCTGCACTGAGCTGCCGAAATCGCTACCAACGTATACTGTGCCCACATTAGATGGGCATGCATTATTTATAACTTTACCAGCATCGTTGGCCATTGAAGATCTGAAACCGACATTCAAATCCTTTGCTAGATCTACCTCTCTAGACTGTTCATCTCCTGGAAGCAAACATTGTCTGTCAGGAAATGAAAAGTGATCCTCTGGTGGATTTGATGGTGATGACAGGCTATTTTTTCGTCTCGCATCACCGTTAATCCCTTTTAGCAAATTCTGTATACTTGACAGTGCAGTCCTCTGGTTTGATGGGTTCGACCTTCCAGCTGCCTTCAAGCGCGTTCTTGTAACATCTGGAAAGTCAGGCAAGACAGGGAGAGAAGGGATTTGTTTATCAATGGGCTTGATATGCAAACGTTCCAACAAAAGCTTGACACCAGCATCCCCCTCAAGCTCATCCGGAGAGCAAGCAAGCAACTCAGTCAAAACATTATTTAAGCCCTTGGCTGTGTTAACGGTTGAATCTGCAGAGCACAGTGGCTTAGGCTATCAGATTTAACAAAATGGTAGCAAACATGATACAACAAAATGGTAGCTCATGACATTCTTTTCTACTACAAGTGCTCGCTCACCATCTACTTCTCTGTCCGCTGTCGTAACATGTATAGCTGTGGTCTTCTCTAAGTTTTGTTCAGAAGGAATGGGGTTTTCCTTTTCTGACGCTTTCAGGTTGGTGAGAAAACGATCCGTATAAGTATGCTTGTATGAACCCCGTTTTCTCCTGAAATTTGAAATTGGAAGTATCAAGGGAAACAGATAAGCAAAATATGCAAATGGAACAACTCTGAAACATGCATTGAGAGAGTTGTTCGTAGTAATACCCTGGCATTTCTGGTCTGCGAGGGCGCCTTGATGGCTTGTTCTGGTGTGTATCTGTTACAAGGGTGCCACTCTGCTTATCCCATTCTCGTTTGGCAACTATTTAAAATTCAGCACAAAGAAAGCATATTTGAATGATAGTACTATAGTAAAAAGGTACGGCTATGAACATCAGAAAAAGACATAACTCACTTTTAAATCTTTCATACGCAGCAAAGTACTCTTCGGGTTTTGGATATTTACTAGGATCAAAGCTTGGTTCATTTTGAGGTGGTTGACTGCAACAAGAATATCTAAAGGCTTCAACTAACTTTGTAAAGGTATCAGATGAAGTAATGAAGAAGAAAAAAAAGTGTTATCGCTATATTAAATGAAAGGATAAGTTGCTATGTTATACTGATCTTTACCTGGTTCTAGGCTTGATAGTAAAAGGTTCTCGCTTACGCTCATATCCCGGTCTTCTTTCTCGTTTATTTGGGATAGTCTTCATCTTGGCACCTACATTCGTATTTTCTGATGCTACACTGGTTCCAATGCCTTGCTTTAAGAGTTCTGCGTTGTCATCCAAGATAGCCTTTGCCTGCTCCTGGTGCTCTTTTTGGATTTCAAAAGGCTGTGAGATGGAAGACAAGGATTTGACAGCGAATAATTTAGTTTGAGAAACTGAACTTGATATGACAAGGAAAAAACTGAAACGGAAATAACACCGACAAAGAATATAAGGAAAACTGCAGTTTGTCTTTTAAATTTCGTGCTGTAATCTCAACAACTAAAAAAACCAAGAGAAGCCTTGACCCAAGAAAAAAAGTAGGCCGAAGCCAATGTAGAGCACTCATCAATATAATTCATTAGCAGGCTATCTACTAGAGCTTATTTACTTAGCAAACATAGAGCTGTAATGCCTCCTTAAACACAGACTTGTCAAACTTTCTGGGTAATTGCTAGATATCTGCAGTTTACCACAGACTTTGAAGAGAAGCTGAAAATCAAGCATTCATCTACACGAAAAAAGAAAATAAAGAAGAAGAAGAAGCAAACATCTGGCTTTTTATCAAGTGTTTGGTAAGAGTGTTCAAACGAAAACCTAATCTCCGTCAATTGGGAAAACCCAAAGGCGGATTAGCGGAAACGAAAGCAGGATTTAAAAATTGATTTCGTACCGAATCGAATAAACCGACTCGAACACACTCTCCGCATTTACGGAGTGAGCAAACAAACCCTAGCTAATGCATTGAAATCTAAAGTATAAAGCAGATTAAGGAGGAGGAGGTTACCATAGATTCAAGGAGAGTATGGGTCTGGTGTAGATCGACTGATTGATAGAGAGGAGGAGGAAGAGGATAGGACAAGCATTTCAGCGTGCGAGGAAAAAGCGATAGACCTGAGTAAGCATGTAGGGGATCGTCCTCTAAAGTTGAACTCCGGCTCAGATCAGTCATCTGAACCTTCGGAAATTTGCCGCCGATGGGACTTCAATCAGATTCCCCAGACGCCGAGAGAGAGATCGAGACGGAGAGAGAGTGAGAGGTTATGGGTTTTGAAAATTGAAATGTTTGGGAAAGCGGGATTCAGTATCGAGCTTATCAATCAATAAAAAATCTAGGGTAATATGGGCGGGATGAAAAACGGAGACGATGGAAAAAGAAAAAGATAAATTTGGTAGGAAAAAAAAAAAGAAGAAAAATCGCGAACGGCAGGATTCGAACCTGCGCGGGCACGTCCGCTGCAATGAAAATTAAAACGACCAGGTAATTAATACATATATCTCGTTTCTTTAGGAATTAGGAGACCTAAAAAGCGGTTTAATTCGGTAATTAAAAAAAAAATTCGGTAATTAATATATCTCGTTTCTTTAGTATGACTTTAATTTTTTTGTTACTTTTTTTTTTATTTTTTATATGGACGGTTGAAAAAAACATGTTATAGCATCCTCTCTTTCAGTTTATAGTTTCAGCTTATAGTTTCAGCGAATTCATGAAAGATTTTCAGTAGATGAAACTTGGATTTATTTTAGCAAATTTGGAGAGTAGTACAACAATTCTTAAGCATTTTAACCCCACACAAAAAAGAAAGAAATGAAAACAAACAATTCTTGAGCCAATTAAAGAAAGAAGAAATCAGCATGATCCAACATTTTATCCGCAGATAAGCGTTTGCGTTCCAATGAGTTTAACTAATGGACCTAATACCTAACGTCACAGACATACAGCAACACATCGCTGCACATATTAGGTTAGGAAGCACATATCGAAGGAAGCTGAAGACAAGGAAAGTCACACATAGCCTGCAAAAAGGACAAATAATGGCGAATATTAATTATCACTTTTATTATCAGGTAGGTGAGATCTATTTTCGAGACATATAATTGTAAGTTTCGTTCCATGCTCACCCGGAGAGTGGAATGGTATGATCTAGAGATGAGTTGCCAACAAAAACCCATAAGAACACCACAGACCACCCAACGAAGAAATATTCAAGAATCATCTTCAAAATGATCATCACCGAGTTGATTCTGCAAAACCAATTAAACCCATTACTGATTTAGGTATCTGAATTCCCTTTTTTGTTAAAAATAAAAATTATAAAAAACATATACAGTTCATACCCAGTCTCTGAGGTTGCATTTTGGTAATTGCAGAAACGCCAACATAGAATAAGGACATTGGCTATACAGCCACAAGTATAAACGTTGATCCATGTTGCTTCTGTATGGTCACCTTTTGTTCCTGTCACAACTACTATGGCTGCAACAATCTGGACCAAAGTCACAACAAGCTCGCACGAATTCAAAATAAATGCAAATACATATGGTATTTGCGCAACAGTTGATGAAAAATCGTCATTGATTGTAATGTTGACATTGTGCTCATCATCTGATGAAGAATCGCCGTTTCTCGTAACGTCGACGTTGCGCTCATCCTTGGTCAGCAAAGGGCCCTCCATTGATTTTTTTTTGTTTTTTTTATTCTACTGTATTTCTCGTCCACCTTAATCCGCAATGCATTTATAGACCTTTCCAATTTCTTGGTGCTATACTCTTAGTCTCTTACTATTATTTTAAGACCAGCTCTACACCAAGACCAATTCTAAGCATAATTTTAGTCTTTTACAATTTATAATTGTTGGTGCTAAAGTATACTTCTTTTACAATATATGAAGCACAAATCATTGACCTTTCCAATCATTTGGTGCTAAATTGTTATTTTAAGACAAACTTTGCACCAAGACCAATTGTTAGTCTTTTACTATGAAATAGTTATTAAATTAGTACCTTCATTGAAAAAGACAGTAATTTAAATACCCAAAAAATTAATTGGTTATGTAGTAGTGGGTACTTGGAGATTGATAGATTTTCTGATTCACGTTCGGCCAATTTTTTATTTTAGAGAGATTTGTCTTCTTGATTTGATGTATGCATATTTGGCTTATCCAATTTCACTTAGCTTTCTTAACATTAAAGTTCAATTATTTTAGTCGAACCTGTAGATTTTAGGAGCATCAGAGGGAGATGACGAGAGCGCCCATCACGAATCAATACATTCCCAAAACTAACCAAACAACAAAGATATACTAATTTCAGCGATAGTCACTGGTATACAAGAACATGTTAGTCTTTGAGTTTTGCTCCGCTCCTAATACTTCCAAGTCTTTCGTGTTGTATCCATTCTTTATTCGTCACACATTCATTCATGGCATCCCACGATAAGCCTCAATATGAGTTTCATATTTGAATGCATATATCTTTTAATAAAGAGCTCCTTCATCCATTTCATTGAGGCACTAATAATTCTTTACACAAGCACAAGTATCGTTCTCTTAACCATTTAAATGTAGATAACCAAAGACTAGAAGCAGAGCTGGTTTAGGCTGAAAGCAAAACCTTTTTTTTGTACAAATTTTGATAAAAAAATTTTGATTATTGATTCTATTTTATTAAACTATATAAATTATTAGAACTTCATCATATGTCGCCAATGTTGTCTTTTTATCTTTAATGTTGTTTAATTTTCGATTTTTCGTCGGTGAACAATTTATATTTCTCTATTCCTTTGCATCTTGGGCTTTGTTCCTCAAATTAGATAAACTTTTCTTTTCTTGCAATATTGCTGCTCTTTGCATGTTTGCAATTGCATCAGCTCATATGAAATTATTAATTAATAAAACATTTAGCTTTATAAAGAGATGCATGCATTTTGTTCACGAAATTTTTCTGTAGATTCGAGTAAGTTGTATGCACCCATACAAAGAATTTGTCAATTAAACTAAAAAGAAATTGACACAAAGGTTATGGAATTAAGATAATTTATATTCATTGGTGTTGCATCATTCATATGATTCATCAGTTGTGAATCATTCATATAATTGTCAGATTCTTTTTAGTTTAACCTTACTACTATAATCAGTGCAAAACGTTCTGATTTCAAGAGGACCTCTATTGCAGGAACTAAGTTCCGAAGTGGTAGATAGTAATCCTTAGAGTAGAAACTTGAAAGAAAAAAATATGTCTAAATAATTCAACATATGTTTCATCACATAACAGTAATGTAGACAGCTTTTGGTCAAAATTAATCAGAAAATCTGTCTAAAATTTTTGGAAACCTTAAACTGTAGTAGTATATTTCTCTGGACTGAAGTTTAAGGTGGTTCCCACTTCCCATACGTGACAATCCAATATCAGTGATCAATAAAATTAGAGATATGGATTAATAAACTTTAATTATATAAATATTTAAACTACCTCATCGGAAAATAATATGAAATTCCGAAACTGTTAACATAACCTCATGATGGGAGAAATGTACATTCTCGTTACAATTAAAATAACCTCTTGTTACCGATTAGATGGAAACCGGGTTTGGAAGAACCAAACCCCCCAGATCAAACTAAACCAAATTCTAATCAAATATTAGATGAGTGGGACTGTGGGAACTGTTTTATGAACAAAAGAGTAACTAGATGAATGAAGATGAACCGGGACCATCAATGTTCTCGTTCCAGATCTATTATCGGTTAGGAGATGAACCGTTCGGTTTAGCCCTTCAGAATAGCGTGTCAAGTAGTTTTGGAGATGTGAGAGCCGCCACAGATTTGAACTGCAAATCCAAAAGAAGTCTTATGAGAACTGAGACAAACGAATTCAAACGATAACAAACCGTGTTTAGCTAGTAAATAAGCTTACTTTCTCTTGCCTATACTTCAAGCGTATAGCGCTCAAGGGGCAGCCTTTGGTGTTAAGCTGCAGATCTTGTAAGGCAAGAACAGATGCTTTCAGATCTGACGCTTTGTACGTTGTGTAATGCTCGAGTGTTGAATTCTGCGCGTAAAAAAGACCAAAAGGAAGCTAAAGATCCAAGATTTGTGGAGCTAAACTGTGTCTGGTAATAGAGAATGAGAAGCAACATTACTGACCCATGGGTGGTTGGATTGGTCCAATGTCCACTTGGCAAGAAAGACCGCTGAAGCAGCGATGACGGAAGGAAGAAACTTCAAGAAATGATAGTCTATCAACGTCAACTCCGTTAGATAGCTTGCTAGATACTCAGTTTCAAGACTCGGGCTCTGCAAATCCAGCAATCCAATACCGATAAATTCTCAATCTTTCTACTAAACTTTGTAATAAGAACAAGATAGGCGAGCAAATTGGAAAATGCATTACCAGATGAGAGGCATGCGCTGCTCTGATAAATCTCCTAAGGAACGTTTTTGGAGTGGGAGTGTATATTTGGAAGCTAAAATGCTTTAGGACTTGGTTCTCCATTTCCAGGACCTGCACATCACGATCCCATTCGCACATTGATTAGTACATTGCACATTTTCTCTTTTGAGGTATAAGACAGTAATCTCCGTATACCTGATCTCTTGTGTAGGTGTTATCCGTGATGAAGCAAAACTCTTCAATGCGTGGCGCACAGATTTCCTCATACTTTCTGAAAAGTTTGAAGGTGAAACAAAAAAAGTTAAGCTTTATTTGCACCTGAGATGATATTTACTAGTAAAACTGGAGAGGAACTTACGAGGCAATTAGCATGCATGTGATGCCGAGCAATTGAAGCCTCTGTCTTTCCATGTAGTTTCCATGGAGGAACCAGTCTATGAGATACACGGTGAGATAAAGAGTGTCAGGTACAAGCGTGTATTCCTCAGACACCTGTGATAAAGATGAGACTTTTGTGAGAACCCGAGACGGGCATAGAAGTTGCAAAAGTTAGCATCAGAAGGGGAACTAAACACTAACCTCGACAAGCCAATCAACCAGAATTCCCCGCATGGACCGAGTGACATCCTTCTGTACTCGCTCCATAAAGTCTGGAAATGGTCTGCGTTTAAGCTGCTTGGACAGAAGTTACACAGAAGCACAAGGAATCAAACTTTCAGTGCTTTGGCTTACCAAGCTTATTTAGAGGGTATTAAGCCTAGGATTTACCTCTGAAACACGCAAATTGTAGTAGATTTCAGGGGCATAGAGGCAGCACAATAAAGGATCCTTGTCATCTGAATCAATGTCTATGAATTTTTGGATATCCGGTGCAGTTGAACTACCAATAACAGCACTTTTCTCAGCTGTAACCATTTGCAAAAAGAAAAGGTTCACAACTCATTAAATACCACTCCTCAAAATAATAGGAACTACTCATATAAAAATTTGTGTTTTTTTATTGGATCACCTATAGAAACTGATCTCCCAAGAGGTCTTGGAGGCAATCTGAAATTCCACTTCTCAATACAGTTCTCAGCTGTGTCATTTGTACTTTTGCAAAGAGACAGGTTTCCTGCTGTAATTGATACAGCTTCTGCTTTTGCATCGGCCCCAGACTGAAGATCTGTGAGATCTGAAGTAACAGAAGATGTCAGCTGGGATGCACTCGCCAATCCCTGTCCCTTCTTTACCTGCTTGGTGTTTTTGGCCTGAAACATGTTCCAGATATGCATGTTATAATCTTCACAGATATCACAGGAAGCCAAACATTAACAAACGAAAAAAACTTGTGCGCTTTAACAACCTTAAGTTGAGCTGCATTGAAGCTAACATTTGAGATATCCCCTAGAACTGCTCGCTTCTTCTTCTTATTGGGTGCAGTGACGTTCATATCTTCCAAGGCTGGTCTTTTTGTGTTTGCTCTCTGTTGATTCTGTGTAGTAGAGGTCGCTTCTGAAGCGCGCAAAGCAGACGCAAAGGCACGAGTGAAAGGACGAGACACAGCATTTTCCTTCCCCATTTCTGAAATCCCACTAGAAGATATAGCCTTGAAGTCTTGAGTCTTAGGACTGCATCACCTTCCTCCGATCTGTGAAATTGAAGTAACAAAAACACAAAGATCAGCGGTTCAGGCTATAAACAGATCACTATCCAGGTGAGATTGCTCATCCGCAACAATGCATATATATATATATATATGTTCTGAAGAGGATAACCAAATTAACTCAAAGAAAGAATTTTCATCAACCACATGATTCTTTCCGAAGTTTTTTCTTTGGAAACTTTCCAAGGTAATAGGTTCACTGAACCCAGAGTATAAATGAGAGATACATTCAAGTTCCAAGCTTGAATGTAAGATTCAATGGTAGAATCAAGAGTTATTTGATTTCCTTATCAATGCAAAGAGTAATGCAGGACAAAAAACCAATTTTATAGCAAAATCTATAGAAAATATCTCCCAAAAATTCGAAAAAAAAGTAATAGGAAAAACCAATATTCATGAATCTAACTACTCTTTCTTTTTTCGTCGGATTTTATATATCATCCATAAGAAGAAAGAAAAAAAATGGGAGGAAATGCAACCAGACGTTCTCTTGAAAAGCAGCCACATTTTCTCGGGAAAACGAACAGATCGTGAGAAACCCATGAATCAGAGCTGAGACAACTAGGGAAATTTCAAAGAACCCACAAAACCCTATCGATTGGACTCACATTCTCTTCTTCTTCTTTTTTTTTAAAAAAAAAAAGAAATCTTTAAACCAACGATATATTGGCAAGAAATGAAAAGAAAAAGACTCGTCGGATCTGGGGCGGCTCAAACGGAAACGAAATGGAGGTACGCGGATGCACAAGCATGAGCATAAATTCCAAAATTTCTTTTTTTTGAGAAAAGGCTTAAATTCCAAAATTTCTTGTAAGATAATAACAAAATCAAGTTAAAAGATTAAGATTGGACCTGCGAAGCTACAGAAAACTCTTCAGGAAAAGAAGGAGCTTGGGCAGATCGAGATGGTGAATCCGCTCTTTGGGGAAAGAGAGCGTCTTTGGGAGTGAACGAGACAGACACTAGTGTGGTTTAAACGATAAAGAAGACACATTTTAGAAATAATTAAGAAAGGAAAAATCAAAACTTTACTAACGACATTAAAACAGTGTTTGAAAAAGAAAGCATTAAAAAATTGTTTTATGTACAGAGAACGAAATTATTATTTGACCTGTTGACCCAAAACGTTAACATATGGGAGAGAGGAAATGGAAGAGAGTTTATTAGGAGTATTAATTATTGTTTTTGTATTATTTTTAATTTAGTAGCGGACTTAAACATAGATTTGGTTGATCGCTCCGTGAGATCTGTGTAATTAACAATTTCTATTATTTGTCTACACAGCTATGATTTTTATGCCACATTTATCATTCTCTTACGTACAATGGCATATGTGCCATTAATTCACCGCTTACTAATTAATGAGAAACAACCGAGCTAGAATCCCTAGCCATTAATACAACTTTTGGTTTTTTTTTCTTACTTTTTCTTCTTTTTTTTGGTTCAAATGTCTCTTTTTTTGAACTTTTGAAGTAGATCTCTTGATTAGGAAACAAAAAAAATAAGAGTCCAAATCGGAGGCCCCAACAAGGAGAAAACGTCATTGGCGATTGGTGGATGTTAAATGCTGCAGAGATCTTGTTCCTGCTGGTCATCCTCGATCGTCTTCTTCCTCTTTAGAATTTTGTTGATGTTTCTTGTCACACAACTTTGTTGCTGTTGTTATGTAATCATCTTTGTTCAATATTTAAAACCAACCAAAACAAAAATGGAAAAGCAGTAACAGTAAAAATGATAGAGGATAGTTATGTTATCTCTATATATTAACACTGATAAATTTCTCATCATATTATTTTATGTTCTTTAATCAACAACACTGATAATACTGACAAGTCTTTGTTCCCTTTTTAAAATAGCACGATTATGATCAAAACAAACAAATAACAACAAATTTAGAGAAAGTTCAAAAAAAGGTCTAGAAAACGTTCCTTAGGTTATTTAATAATATATGAGTATTTCTTCAAATTTTATGAATCATTGCCGTACCTAAATAGTATTTCTATAGAATTAATCATTTAGATGATAATTTTTGAAAAACCTACATAAAATGTTGCATTTATGAAAATTGTCAACTAACTAATTCAAACATACAAGTTAAAATTTGAAACCTTTAAGAAGTATTGCACACACAAGAACAAAAAATGGAAGTGTATGATGAGTCAAGGATATTTTTTTCGGTTCTTTTTTTTTTTTGTAGAAATGATGAGTCAATGATCGCTTCTTTTGAAATTAGTTACAACACGTGATTAGATAATCAGAGCCTTGCGAGTTTTGAATTCAAAACTTGTTTGGTTGTCGATCAAAAGTCTTATTTTATTTGACTTACTCTAAAGTTTAATAATGGCTATAAAAATGCTAATGAGAGGGATAAAGATGCATGTAACGAGAAGTCATGAGTCATGACCCTAATAATAATGTTTTATCCACAAACCAAAAAGTTAGTTCAAAGGTTCAAAACACAAACCACACACACACCCAGAGAAAAAGTAAAAGAGAGATAAGAAAAAATAAAATTATAATCATACACCACAATTTACTGTATCTGTGGTCCAAATTTTGTTTTTTTGAACTCCAACTTTCCCTCCATTTCCCCTAGCGCATTTACCACACACTGAGATGCGTATTTCTTAGACAATGAAATGATATATTCAAATGCAGTTTGCATAATGGATGTGTTTGGTGGTCCATATGATATCTCTCTATAACTTTTAAAATCTACTGTTAACACGTCACGTGAGTACAATAATACTCAAACGTATGTATGTGACTATAATTTTTTTAATCAAAAAAACCAAAAACTGAATATTTTGTTGTTTATGTTATTTTCTTAGATAGATGGTCCCTTTGTTTATATATATGGTGGACGTTAGAAAGATATCTAAATTAGGGCGTTATAGTATTTTCAAATTTTAAACAAAATAAAATAATATCCTTGTTAAAAAAAATAAAAAATAAAGGTGATTAAAAAAAGACAAGAGAAAAATCACGGACTTTTGTTGGTTTGCTTATAGAGGCCCAAAAAACCGGGCCCTAACTAAGTGGTGGACCGAATTAGAGCGCCGGGACCGAACCACCATGTGTTTGCGGCTCCCATCTCCTTCCTTCGTCGCCGTCGAGCCATACGACATGTCCGAAATTCAGAGAGTGAAAGAGACACTGAGAAAGAGAGCCTCGTTCTAACTCCGAGCCCTTGATTCTGAAACCCTAGAATTTGGGAAATTTCAAAGTAAATTCGCAGGCGGGGTTGTAAGATCACTTGAGACTAGCGAGAGAATTACGCAATGAAAGGATCCTGTGACTCACTCCTGTCATCTTCTTCGATGGTGGTGGTGGTACTGTTGCTCAGATTGATAAGTAAGTATACGCCTACGTTGACAATTTCTCCAAGTTCAAGCAATTGCTAGTTCCTAGTATTTGCGGCTATAAAGCGTTAATTTGTTATCTGTCTTGTGAGGCAATCGTATGTGGCTTCTAGTACTTTGATTTGTATCTACCATGAAAATCCTGCTCTGCCCTTGCAATGTATTATTGCTGCTTCCTTCTGTTTTGGCTGTCTTTTAGTTTGTCTCCTTCAATTGAATGTGCGTAAAACTTGCATAAGCAGCTTCTGGTGATCAATATGTTGCTCAGTGAGCTGATTAGGGAGCGATAGATCTCATTCTGATGCACAGCTTATGTTTGTGTTTTCAATATTCTGAATTCGAATAATGCTGGTCTAGGCAATTGAACACGCTTGACGATCCCTTGACGTGGATGAAACAGATGAGCTTTATGGAAAACAGTAGTGGAGGAGACGAAGGTTGTAAAGAAATTGGATGCAGAGAGGAGAGAGCATTCGAAGAAGGAGTCTTGCTGCTTTCCGCTGATCAAATACAGTGTTTTACATGTTGGCTCCGGAGTTCTCAATTTCAATTTGTTGAAAGACACAGAATGGCATGAAAAGTTTTCAAATTTCTCTTTATTGATGTTGCAGGTTTGGCTAAATTAAAAAGGCTGCTTGAGGAGGCTTTCGTCCTTCCTTTATGGATACCCGAATATTTTTTTGAGGTATACCTTTGATTTTGTTTCTTATTACCACAGCCTATATGTTTATATCAACCAAACAACAAAAATATGAGAAAGAAAAATATCACTATCAGTGCATATGTTCCTTTTTTCGCTTTAAGGTATTGAAGACCTTTGGAAAGGAATTTTATTGTTTGGTATTCTTGGGACAGATAACACGCTGTTGGCTAAATGGTTGCCACTGAGTGTGGTACACTGGTACTGCATTCTCCAATGTCCCTACTGCTACTTACAGCCTCAGAAATGGCGTGGAGGAGAGTGAGTGCATGGTCAAATGCTCCGGGCACAATCTTCATTGCTGAGATTGATTCTGTTTACAACTCTCGAGGGTGACTTCCTCTTCTAGCGTTAGTATATTTGTATATCCATGCGCTTTCTTCTTTTCTACTCACCAAAAGATCAAAGCACAGTGTGTCATTGTGTGACAAATAAAAAAAATGTGAATTTGAAAAAAAACAGTAGAGGTTCCGGAGAGCAAGAAATCATCAAGAAGAGTGAACTCCGGGTTCAGGTAGAGGGGCGTGAGCAATACAGCAACAAAGTAGGACGGTATTACCAATAATCATGCTCGTTTTCAGGTGGCCAGTACCGTTGACACTGAGGAAGTGGCTTTGGCTAGGATAAGCAAAAAGGATACAGGGGAGACAAATCTGACTAACGTGTGCAGAGACGCGTGAATGAACGGAATCTGAGGGAGGAGATCAAGAACATGTGTGATTTCGAAAGATCTCCAATGGCGATGTGTGATTTCGAAGAGGCACCGACACCAGATATCGACAAGTGGTTCCCAGAGTTCTACTCGGCGAAAAAACTTCCAACTATACCGTTACTTGTTTTGTCTTGATTTATTGCTTTCTTCCACCATTCTCAAATTTTCTCTTTTATTTCTTACGGTGTTATTGTCGTGATGCCTCTCTCTCTGCCACTAACTGAAATAAGTTTCGAATTTTATCCGACATTTTATTTATTTGTATATATATTAAATGGAGACACGTGAATATTACACATTTTTTATACGATTGTAGAGATATAGAATACATTAGTTTCATTGGTTATTCTGAAACAAATTAATGAATTACGCCTCTCTTTCTATAATGATGTGCTCTTGAAACAAAAACTAAAATTTTGGAAATCAAAAGCATTACAATAATTATGGGAATCTTATAATAAGAGACCAGAAAACACCGTTGCCCATCCGAATTAAACTTGGACTCGATAACAGTTTTAGAGGTACAATAATTATGTTTCTTTTGTTCGATTATGGCTCTTTTTTTTTTTTTTAGTCTAATTTACATATATATATATATATATATATTTGTTGGAGATAAGTTTTTGGTTATCTAAAGACAGAAACTAAGTCACAACACGTGGATTCTCTTAGGTTAATTAAAAAAAAAAAAACTTGTGAGAGCCTTCTTTTGGAGAAAGGCTTTAAGGTTTTCGAAGGAAAGTTTAAGTCGATGAATAACGAGTGTAGAAATTATTCTTACGAGTGAGAGAATGGATATATAAAGTGATCTATCAGCCGTTGTAAAGGCTTTGAAAATAAATGGGAGATTATTGTTGGCACCCTATAGGTTGGTTATGCCATAGTTCGTCTAAGTAGCTCATACGGGACATCGATCATATCTACTGGAAAAGGCTTCGTCTCACATCGCTAAGAAGCCTGAAACTATATTATTTCTTTCTTTATTTGCAAGTACTGATCAGGTCGATCTCGTTAGAAATGCATGCTAGAAACAGTTAGCGAATCCAGATCGAAGCTAAGTTCTCGTGACTCTAGTTAAAGATATTATGCACAACTATCTTAACCCCTGGGGGAAAGGTAATGTAGCACATGCGTTTTTAGAGACTTCCTTGCTAACTAGGACTTCCAAAAAGAATTGACGCTTTGTCAATCTTTTTGGGGTATGTGTCTTGCTAACTAGGCAATTTATATATTAAGTTGTGTCTTCCGAAAAAAGTTGACTCCAACAATTATTTTAATATAGTAATATTATATTCTAGATAATTTACATTTTACAAGCATTAGTTAAAACTTTAAAATATCATCATTTCTTCCATTTTGTAAAGTAGTTTTCTCTAAGCTTTACTCGTTTTACTAAGTAGTTCGAGATCGTGTGTAGTTCAAATTCCATCTTTAGCATTTATTTTATGTTTTATTGCTCCTTAAGCATTTTACAATGACAATTATTGAAGGCCTCCTATCTCAAATTCTTATGTTTCAATACTTTTTTTTTTCATTTTTAACTGGTGAGCTTTCAGTTTCGAGTTAATTATATTGCATGTGTATAGTTCATTAGTTTGGATCATAATAAAATAAAAAGAAATGTTTAAATGTCATAAATAAAAATAAACGCATATGACATTTTTCTAATTGGTTTGCGTAGTTGCGTAAAACACTCATATTCTATATAAAGTTTTAAGAACTAATTAATAATTTTGTCAGCAACAAAAATATTTCTCTCTTTCATGTTTCCTCATCTCTTCTAACATTGGAAATTGTCATTTGACCTCTTCTTATCAACAATATAATAACAAACAAAAAACTGAAGGTGTACGATTTTTGTAGCATTAATAAATAACTTACGATCACTTGTTTTATGTCCAATACATAGAATCAATGAAGCGTTCTAGAGATATCTTTATCATTATGTTATTTATCTACATGTATTTTTGGAGTTTACGGACTGACACAAAAGTTATATATTAGCGGCCTTCAACCACTACAAGAAAGATCAGCTTTTACGTCGGCAGATATCGACGTAAATTCGACGTAAAAGAACATTTACGTCGAATTAACGACGAATTGTAATTCGTCGTAAAACGATCGTCGTAAAATCCAAATCGTCGTAAAATCGTCGTAAAATTACCAACTCCGGAAAATCGTCGTAAAATCATCGGAAACAATTCGTCGTAAATGCGACGTAAAATTTCCAACGGATGTACAACGAAATAACTCCATCATAAGAACGACGTAAAATCGATGTAAAATTACATCGATTTAACAACGATTAGGAGACGAAGAATTTCAATTAAGGGAAAAATAAATTTTTAATTATCGATGTTAAATCGTCGTAAATTTTCGACGTAAATCCGACGTAAAGATATTCGTCGTAAATTCATCGTTAAATTTTTCGACGTTAGATCGACGTAAATTTACGACGAATTTACGTCGATTAATTCGATTTAATTCGATTTTAATAAATTAATTATTTAATTCGATTTTAATTTAATTAATGAAATTTTTAAATAATAAAAAAATTAAAAATAGAAAAAATTTGAAATTTAAATTCAAAAATAATTTATAAATAAAAAAAAATTACTACAAATTATCTTTTACAAAAAACCTAATCTATACAAAGTCGTAATCGTCGAGGTTGAGATCGACGTCACGAGGAAGCTCTCCGTCTTGGCCGCCCGTCGCTGCTGGACCGACGTTTTCCGTCTGCACTACCGGAGCCGAAGACTGACCGCCCGTCACTGCTGGGACCGGAGCCGAAGTCTGACCGCCCTGCGTCTGCGGGTCCGAGGGTCCAGTACCCGAAGTAGCTCCGGTCTCAAAAACCCTCCGTGCTCGCTGTTGCCTCGCTCGGATTGCGGTGGCCAACTGCGGAACCGCTTCCGCAATGATGTCGAAGAGATCATGGATCTCGGTGAGCTCCTGCTTCTGGGCCACTTGCTCATGCCTGAGAGTGGTGATCTCAGCATTGGCCGTAGCAAGCTCCTGGCGAAGCTGCGGATCCTGCGGGCGGTGGAATCCGGAAGCCGTGGCGGCAGGACAGTCTCTAATAGAGCCCATCCCTAATGTTCGGCCCTTCTTCTTCGGAGCGACCTACAAATGGAAAATAAAAACGTTAATTATTTATTAAGTAATTATAAATATAATAAATTTTTAAAAAATTGAAATAGATCATACCTCTTCGAAAATCTGGTCTTGCTCAGCGACGGTCAACGGTACGTGGATAGTACCGTCAGGTGTGGCCTGGGTCTCCCGCTCGGCGATCCGCTGCATAGCGGCATTGTAGATCTCCTCGGACCGAGCGTCGACAAAGCTCCCGTCCTTCTTCCGGTGAGTGGTCTCGAAGAGCTTCGTCATTGGAGGTAGTTCTCCTCCGTTCTCCTCGGCCTACCAATTAATAAACATTATTAGTCAAAAATATTTAATAAATTATAGTAATAAATAAAATTAAAATAATAATGAAATAAATTATATTTAATTACTTACCATCATGAGACGTCTTCCCGCAAAAGATACTTGGCCAGAAGTGTGCGGGGTCACTAACTTCTCACCAGTCACAGGATCGACCCGGTTTCGGACGGCCGAACACTTAGCAGCGGTGGTTTGGGCATGCGGGTCCACCCAATACGCCTTCAACCCGTTCCAACACCAAGTGGACATGGAGCTCGGCTTTGCGTCGTCGCCGTCGGTCTCCCATTTTCGCTTCCAATCGGAAACGGTGTTGACTAGGCGTTTCTTCGCCTTTTCCACGAAAGCATCGCGGACCGTCTCGTTGATCCCGATGTCCCAATTCCACCGTTGCTGCAAAAGAAAACAAAAAATTAGATAAACAATATAAAAGTAAGATTAATTAAATTTAAAACAATTTAAAATGATATAAATAATATTTAAAAATATTACCGCGAAGCACTTGTACCAGGTGTCGCACGTCTCTTGCGACACCTTGCTCCAATTGTAGTGCGGCTCCACGAAATGACTCTTAATGCAGTCGGAAACGCTCCGACCGACACAATTATCCAAAGTAAACCTATGAAACAAAAAAAAAAATTATTACATTAATATTTAAGTAAATTAAAGCGTTAATTTAAAAACTATAAAAAACAAAAAAGTTTACTTACCAAAAAGAGCCTGATTCCGCTTTTCCGGTAACCAGACGTCGTAAAGCCCCCCGTCCCGGTAAGGCTAGTAAATCCTCAACCGTAAACTGGGCATACGGATGAGGAGGGACGGGTACCGGTTCGGCAGCCGGTGCGGGTACCGGTTCGGGAGCCGGTGGAGGAGGCGGTGGTGGAGGCGGTGGTGGAGGCGGTGGTGGAGACGGCTCCGCGGTATTCGGAACCTGAGAGGCTCCGGAAGATGAGGAAGGGACATCGGTCCCGGTGTTTCCCGAGGCAGACGCCCGGGAAGAATGTCCGTCCGCCATGAAATTGATGTAATGCGTCTTCCGTCGAGGCATCGTCTGCAAAACGGAAAAAAATTATTTTTCAAATTAATTACAATGTCGATCCTAAATCTAACAAATTCCGATCCTTAATCTAACAAATTCTGATCCTAAATCTAACAAATTCCGAGCCTAAACTAATTCCCGACCTAAACCGTTTGAATTTTTAAACTATTTAAAATTATTATAATTTGAAATAATTAAAAAAAAATATTTACCTTTTTTTTTTGCGTCGAAAGGAGGAGGTGGGAAGGAGGAAGCAGAGACAGCGAGAGAGGAAGGAGAGATGAGCGACGAAATGAGGAAGGGGTGAGGTCCTATATATAGAATTTATATTCGTCGTAAATTCGACGTAAATGTTACGTCGAATTTACGACGAATTCGTCGTAAATTCGTCGCAAAGTTCCCACCGTACACAAAGCGAATAAGACAAACACACGTGGGTGTATCTGGACTTGCGACGAATTACGACGATCCGTGTTATTCGTCGTAAATTCGTCGTAACATTACGACGAATTTACGACGAATCGTATAAATCATTAAAATTAAAACGGCTGTGTATACACATATCGTCGTAAATTCGTCGTAATATTACGACGAATTAACTACAAACTATACAAAACTGATGAAATTCAAAAATTGAAACATCCATAAGGACATACAAGCATGTTTATTCATGATAAATGTGGTGTGTATAACTTTCTAACATGTTTACATAACTTAATGAAGGTTTTAGTAAGATGTAAGATAAATCCATACATCTTGTGTAAATGTATATAACACCTTAAGATTACTTGATAAACACATATATGTCAATTTT